TTCTTTCTTTGATTTCAACGGTGATGCACTGGAATTAAGCGCCATACTTTAGCGCTTCGGTTTTTCTTGTCCAGGTGGCGGACATTTCCAACTTTAATGGGTTTTCATCTAAAATAGTCCGGGAGGGCGAGTTTATCGACAGTTCATTTATTTTTCGATGCATTGACTTGCGCATTAACATCTTCAATCAAACTACGAATTTGGCTTTCAATTTTTTTTTTTTTATTGTTCGGACTTATTAATTCCAAAATGAGTGTGGCATTGTGACAAATTAAGAATTGAGACCCCGGAGGCATGGGGAGCAAACTCTCACTTTCCTTTACGCTGTCCACCCCACTTGAGAGCAAACGGTCAACTCTTCCAAGTGTTCACCTGTCCCCGACTTGGGTAAAGGGATCAAATAAAACAGACCAGGATTTCAAAGTTGGAATATTAAATGAGGACTAAAGAAACAACGCCAACTTCCAGAAGCAGAGTGGAAGCAGCCCAGATGGCAGGGACAAGATTGGCTAGATTATTTTTTTTTTCAACTTCAAGTAATGGAAAACAGAGGCAGTCTTTTATTACAATAAAACATTGTTATCTTTCCTCCCGTGTTGCTTTATTTTGCAATCCAACCTTTTGAGTAAACCAGATAAACTCTCTAAAATAAGCCAAGTCCTAGAGAAGTCTCAAGAAAACTTTGCAATACGATCAACACTTAGTGTTGATAAACAGTTCGTTTCTCGTATCATTGTACGCCATAGATACGTCTTTTCATCATTTCAAAACGCACGAAATATATTTTGTTAGAAAGCGTGTAAACCCCAACCTAAGGGTGGTCACGCAGAGGAACAAGGGTGACAAGATGTCGCGTCCAGTCGCGTGACAATCCCTGGTGCCTAGTTCTTTTCCATATTAAATTGTGAACGTACCTGTGGCGTAAATTGTAACAGAAACAAACCGTTTACTAAAACCAGTTTGCAATCGTACCGCTTAGTTTTATTGAGACCTCATTATTACTGTAAACATAACCGTATTGGTCCTAAGCTTGACATATTAATTCTCCTTGCTAAGTGCCCTACGCGTTTCTATCTTAGCTTTGAGAATTTGGTAGTACATAAAGACTATCGCGAGTTAAGTATAATAATATCTTTGCGTTGTTCTCATCTCCGGTCGTTTTGGAAATCTACTGATACTGTAAGGAGAAAAAATATGTCCACCATAAGGACTGGCACGGAGAACGTTTTTCAAAAACCTCTGTACTAAAACTCCATTGTTGGTACGTTTCTAAATAAATCGTTGGTAGACCCGAGAAAATTCGAAACCAGATACGAACTGAGCGTTTTTTGCGCTTTTCCTGCTTATGTAAACTATCAAGAGAAATAAAAAAGAATCTGAAAGAAATTTGTTGCACGCGCGTCATATAAACAACCAAAATAAATCGATCATTCTATTCCAGGATTCCAAACTGGGTAGCATTAAGAATTCATTCGAGATTGCAGCAAAATTGTTGTCAAAGTCACAGTTATAATATTTGTGAAAACAACGTAGGCTTAAAATCGTAGGAACAAAAAATATGCAAATTTCTCAACGCTGATCGCACCCACCGCACAAATATTTGGATTTTTATAGATCAAAACAATATTTCGAACTTTTGCTTTGTAATCAACTGTTGTGTAAATTGTCGTTTTCTCTACGGTTATAAAACGCTCTAAATCCGCTAAAAAAATCAAAAGAACTTTACGTTTTTTCCTTTCATTCCCAAGAATAGGCTCTGCTAAAGAAACAGACATGGAAGAAAAACATGCATTTCAAAGAACTATTTTTTTCTAACAATTTGCAGTCTTGATCAATAGCGACTTTTTAAAATATAACCAAACGAATATTAGTTTTAACAGCCGACGTTTCGACGTCATCGTGGCACCATTCTCAAGGCAAAGTGAATAAATTCATGCGAAGATTTGATTTCTATACTTTTTAGAGTCTCTACAAATTAGCATAATAACAAAGGCTCACAAGTTCTTCAAGTTAATACCTTTGCGAGAATCGAGTCCGTTTGCACGTTTAGAGATGATTTAAGTTATCGTATAATTAGCAGTCGCTTGGAAAAATTATAACAACAAGAGTTGAAGTCTGCTTTAGCTAAGTTTTTAAACTCCAAGACCAAAAATACTTAGGAAATTGTACTTCTCGTCTTGCGTGACATTGTTACGTTCTTTTAGTAGCACAAGGTAAATCGGTCACGCAATAATGCATCCTTTTAGAAAAAGAGATTTGCTGCTTAAAAAGGCACGAAACTTGGAAAAACAAAAAAAGACTTTCTGCTGCAATCTCGAATGAACGTTTAGTGAAGGATTTAAAGACACCCGATGATACACTGGCAAAGGAAATGTTTTGAAAAACGTACACACAAAGGTTTACAGTAAAATGAAATGTTGAGCCACCCACAGGCGACCTTACATGAGTTTTGCAAAACTGATGGAGCGCTTATGACAGGTTAATAATTTGGCTGCACAAAACAATTTCGAAGAATTTGAAACGGAATCGTATAACAGACTCAAGATGGTCACAATAAACAATGTAGTCACTTAGTGAGATTCGACTGTTCAATGCAATGTAGACATGTAATGTACTGTACCAAGATCTCACCATTTAATGGTGTGATCTCTACAAATTTTGTAGATGGCTTACAGTCTCTCTTTTCTCTAGCACGACCTTAGCAGGAACACAAGGCTAAAGAATCACAAGCAACGCCAGTGCCTTGGCAACCCTGAGAGTGAACTTGCTTTGCCCACGGTTCTTTAGTTTCATATCACTGCCAAAGTCCTCTGAGAAAACAAAGAAGCTGTAAACAGCCCACAGTACACAATAATCAAATGTATAGACAGAAGCTCTCTATAAATCTTAGTTCAGTTTGTCCGTAAGTTTGCCAATCAGTTGTCTGTCTTATTTATCTGTCGGTCTGTCTGTCAATCAGTCATTCAGTCTGCCTGTCATGTCTGACAGAGCTTTCTGTGTATATGTCTGTCTACATTCAACATATCAGTCAATCAGGCAGTCATGGCATCAATCAATCAGTCCATCATTCCGTGTGCCAGTCTTTCAATCAGTCAGTCAGATAATAAGCCAGACAATCAACAGGTCAGTCTGTCATTCTTCCATCAGTCTTTCAGAGAGTAAGTCAGTCAGACAATCAGACAGTCACAGTCAGTCAGTCTGTCTGTCTGTCAGCCAGCCAGTCAGTCAGTCACTCAGTCAGTCACTCAGTCAGCCAGCCAGCCAGCCAGTCAGTCAGTCAGTTAGTTAGTGAGTCTGTAAGAGAGTCTGTTATTTTTTACATCAGCCTTTCAGTGAGTCAACGGGTCAATGAGTTTGTCAGTTAGTCAGACCATCAGACATTTGATCCATCTGTCAATCAGGCATTGATTCTGTGCGCCAGTCTTTCAATCAGTCAGTCAGGCAATAATCCAGACAATTAATAAGTCAGTCTGTCATTCTTGAAACAGTCTTCCAGAGAGTAAGTCAGTCAGACAATCAGACAGTCAGTCAGTCGGTCAGTCAATCAGCCAGACAGCCAGTCAGTCAGCTAGTCAGTCAGTCAGTCAGTCAGTCAGTCAGCCAGTCAGTCATTCAGTAAGTCTGAGTCTGTAAGTGCGTCTGTTATTTTTTACATCAGCCTTTCAGTGAGTCAATGAGTCAATAAGTTTGTCAGTCAGCAAGGCCATCAGACATTTGATCCATCAGTCAATCAGGCAGTGATTCCATGATTCAATCAGTCAGTAAGCCAGACAATCAATATGTCAGTCTGTCATTCTTGCATCAGTTCTCAGAGAGTAAGTCAGTCAGACAATCAGTCAGTCAGTAAGTCAATCAGCCAGTCAGTCAGTCTGTCGGCTAGTCAGTCAGTCAGCCAGTCAGTCAGTCAGTCAGTCAGTCAGTCAGTCAGTCAGTCAGTCAGCCAGTCAGTCAGCCAGTCAGTCAGCCAGTCAGTCAGCCAGTCAGTCAGCCAGTCAGTCAGTCAGTAAGTCAGTGAGTCTGTAAGTGAGTCTGTTATTTTTTACATCGACCTTTCAGTGAGTCAATGAGTCAATGAGTTTGTCAGTTAGTCAGACCATCAGACATTTGATCCATCAGTCAATCAGGCAGTGATTCCGTGTGCCAGTCTTTCAATCAGTCAGTCAGACAATAAGCCAGACAATCAATAAGTCAGTGTGTCATTCTTGCATTAGTTTTCCAGAGAGTAAGTCAGTCAGTCAGCCAGTCAGTCAGTCAGTCAGCCAGTTAGTCAGTCAGTCAGCCAGCCAGTCAGTCAGTCAGTCAGTCAGTCAGTCAGTCTGTAAGTGAGTCTATTATTTTTTACCTCAGCCTTTCAGTGAGTCAATGAGTCAATGAGTTTGTCAGTCAGTCAGACCATCAAACATTTGATCCATCAGTCATTCAGGCACTTATTCAATCAATCAGTTGATCGCTCAATCAATCAGTCAGTCCATCATACTGTCAGCCAGTCAGTCAATGAGACAATCAATCAGTCACAAGGTTCATACTCTTTTAGGCTTTTCCATGACCTTTCCCAGTTTTCCATGAGCTATGTTTTAACATAGGTCATGGAAAACTGGGAAAGATTAAAAGCAGTTAAAAGCAGTTGTTTTTAAAGTATTGTCAAAACAATCTGTTGTTTAAAATATTTTGTCACATTATGACACAGAAAATGAGCGCCATTGTATATTTTATAATAATACTGGAATTAGAACTGGTTTACTGAATTTTCTGTTATTTTTTCAATTTTTGATTTTTTTTTTTTTTTGCCTTTTATTCTCAGAAAGTATATTGTTTTTCCATGACTTTCCATGACTTTTCATGACCCACACTTCAATTTCATGACTTTCCAGGTTTTCCATGACCCATACGAACCCTGAGTCAGTCCATCATCCCATGCATCAGTCTTTCAGTCACTCAGTCAGTGCCTCTGTCATTCCTTGCATCAGTCTTTCAGTGAGTCAGTCAACGAGTTTGTCAATCAGTCAGTCGGTCAGACCATCAATCAGTCAGTCTCCCATTCTGTCAGTCACTCAGTAGATCAGTAAGTCAGTCAGTCCATTATTCTGTGCATATGTCTTTCAGTAAGTCAGTCAGTAAATCAGTCAGTCTGTCATTCCATGCATCAGTCAGTCAGTCAGTCAGTCAGTAAGCAAGGATGGGTTTGAAACTGTACTGCTCAAAGTGTTATATGAGAGTTCTTCTATTCATTGTGCAAGTCAACCACAGAAGAATACAATGTACATTGCAAGACTGAACTAAGTTAATCAGGGCAGAACTTGGCTTATTCAAGAGTTTTGTTCACCCGGTTCCCCCAAGAGTTGGATTGCAAAATAAAACATACAGCCCTTCTAAAGATGACTGCTCAAAGCTTTGGTCCACTTTGTCTCTGTTGGCATCTGATCTGGAAAAGCAAGATTAACTTCTTTCAGTCTCAAGTTACCATTGATATCATAAGATAACTACTTAGAGCCAGCTGTCAGTAAGTCCAACAATCAGTTAATTATCTAGTCAAATCTGGTCAGTGAATCAGTTCATCAATCTGCCAGTAAATATATCAGTCAGTCATCCAGTCAATTGGCCAGTACATTGCACATGAAGTGTTTACACATTTTGGGGTGCACAAAATTGAGGTGAGAGCCCTTATATGGGCTATATATTTGGTCTGAAATTGGGTATTGATTTTGGCCATTTTGGTTCAATAATTACAGGGACGCTGGGTATGATTTGTGCACTCTAGTCTTGAAATAGCTACATTTTTTAGAAGAAGCTTCTTCATCAGCATTATCAAAAGGAACATCAACAAAAGCCCTTCCAGTAAACGGTTTTTAAATAAGCTTTCTGTTGCAGGCATGAAGTCTGGAGAAAATTTTTGGTGAAAGTTTACTGTCAGAATCATTATTTTCAGTTAACGAAGCTTTGGTTATTGCTTACTGTAGTCTTTCCTCTTAACTTAAGACACGAGTGTTTTTTTTATGAAGAGTAATTCCATATTATGCAAAGGTTGGCTCCTATCAATCATCATCATTCACTACAAGAGTTCTGAAATACCACATAGGGTATTTTCCCCTCTGTGCTAGCATATTACGTGATGCACCCTAGCCGTGAAACAGCTGGTACAATATACACTATTTTGTGGAAAGGATTTTCATTTGTGAAATTTTTAGTGTAATGACGAATAAGCACGCGAGAAATCATGATGCCTTTGCTCTCTAGTCAACATTATAAAAGCATTTGTTTTGTTTTCATCCCCAGACCCCTTATTTGGACTCTGCTCACAAACGAGGTTCTTGCTCAATCCATGTGCTTTCTGTTTTCAATGACAGAATCAGCTGATCCAAATATGTTTTGCATGCTGCAATTAGCCAAATAATATGCCTCCAAAAGTGAAAGTTCCAAAATTGGAAAAGACTCAGAGATTGTCGCCATTTTGCACTACGAATGCCGAGTCCACCACAATGAATTGTGATCCTGAAAACAACAATCAAGGCAGAGCTTTTAAGCCTTCTAGTTATGAGGAACAAAAAAAAATTTTGGTTAACGTTTCATTAACTACTAGAGAACTACAGGTGTGTTATGTACAGTTCATCCATACAAGTAGCTCAAGTTCTCTAAATCTAAAACTGAGCATGCCTCAGTGATGTTGATATCAGACTCAGAGTGTTATGTTTAGTCAGACTTTCCAGTTCGGAATGTATAGTTTAACCTCAATGAAAGGTTACATAATTTGTGTTAGCTCTATTCTGTAACTGTACACTTTAACCTAGCTTGAAGTCCAGTAAAAAGTATAAAACAACAGCAATCAAGAATTATGTATCGCTTGTCAAAATTTTTTTATGGCCCATTTATTTACCCTAATGACCCAAACTTGTTATAAATGGTCCATAACTTTCCAATGCCATGGGCCATAGGCTCTTTTGCCTGTTTTGCCTTCCCAATCCCTGACAGTGAGGTACATGTAAATGCTGAAAAGGGGACTAGGAAAGGTTGAGGGTCATGAAAAGGTTGGTTTACACATGTATCTGTCAGCATTATCTTAAAGCGTTGGTTAACAGGTTTTAGATAACCTGTGGGCATGAAGACCGAGGAAAAGATCTATGTGAAAGTTTGCTGTCAGAATTGTTCTCTTTGGTCAAAGAAGCTTTGGATAATCCTTATTGCAATTTTTCCCTTTTTTTTTTGTGAAAAGCGAATTCCATATTACGTCAAGGTTAGCTCATTCCATGTTATGTCAAGGTTAGCTTATATTTAGTATCATTCTACATTTTGCAAAACAGTGAAAAAAAAATCTTTCTATTTCTACCAAAGTAACTTATTATCTAGCCAAGGCAAAAGTTTGCGAAAAAAGTGTATAAATGTGAGCATTTTAATGGGAATGTCCTGAAAAAACATTTGAAGTTACCTAGGAGTATGTCTTATTGGTTTATATCTGTTAGTCCTGAGTAAAACATTATTTTAGACATGAATGAATGAATGAACAAATTTCATTGAAATAATCGAAATCATAGGCCAAAGCAGTGTGCACATGCAATCACCGGCCCATCTCAGATATAAAAATTTCTGCCTTTTCATGCTATGTTCTAAACCAAACAAAGCATGGTGTTTCTATTTTTTCAAAGAAAATAATGCACTATTGAGGTCTAAAAAAACTGTTGAATGCATGCACACTCTGCTCTTGCATCCACTAGCAGTTTTTCTAAACCTCAAGCTTCGACAACACAGATCACCATCCACTACTTGGTACATTATGCACTTGGAAGATTAGAGAGCACTTGAAAAGCTGGCACTGCTCTTACGTATGGGTCAAATAACTCTTTCCCTTTTTCTATGCTCTCCAAACTCTGCCTACATCCAATACTCGAAAAAATCACTCAAGCATGAAGCAATTTTTAAAATGTACGCCTAGACACGCATGCACATGCATTGTGCAGTTCCAGAAATATCCGTAGCTACCGTACGGAATGTCAGAGTAATGTTGACCAAATGGAGCGGGGAAGGGGGTCTTCGTTGACTTATCTGAGAACTAAGAATCCCTACTATATACCTAATACATGACCAGTAGCAGATTCAAATGGGAAAAAAGTGACGATTTTGATTTTTCAGAATAAGCTAAAACTCAAGCTGATTGTGAACAGGATTGTAAACAAACTCATCTCTACCCACGCAAGTACCTCGCTACAAGTTTGCCACTTCATGTTCCTCTAACATGGTAGAAAGGAGAAAGCCATAATAAATTCTGATAGGTTTCACAAGCAATGTTTATGTGCTATCTTATTATCTATTCTAGTATAGTATTTATTACATCAAACTGTGAGGAAATGACTCTGTAAACCAATTTACAAGCTAATTCAACCTTACCTTCGTCCGGAGGTCTTCAGAGGTTGTCAACAAACAGACAACCGTCTCCGTTTTCCATCTCATGACTCTGACAAGCGAGAATGTAAAACAAATTAGCTTATGTCGCACATCAAGTAACATCACTGGTTCAAGCCGGTTTTAAACAAAGAACAAACCTGTGAAATTACGAAAAACCCAATTTTCCACCATTCTTCTTGCACACGTGCCAAAATGGAGGACGAACTACACTCGAAGAGATCACAAGAAAATAGTCAGGAGGAGAGGGGAGGGGGCGGGAAAGAGGATTATGCCACAGGCACCTCGCATTTCCAACAATTTAATGATGGAAATTAGACTATAAAGAGGGCAGAGAAAAATTTTACATCTTAACTGAATATTGTGTCTAAATAAATTGAAAGGATTTTGAGATCTCAGGGACTCGAGAGAAGGCCAGGGTATACCTTATGTACTTGTACACCAAGTTTCCCGCTTTGGCCTGCAAACGCAGACGCATTTTCGGCTGTCACTTAGTTCTGTCGGAGATACGTCTGCGTTCGCAGGCTACTCCCGTTAGGGATGACGTGCGTTCCCTTTAGTACCGGAACAGAGGTAACTGGCGCCAAATTCACTGGAAACATTATAATAAGAACGAACCTTGAGATAACGCACCAAGGAACCCGGGAGATAACGAACGAGGGAGTAAGAAGAAGCGCCAAGAGAGGTTTGTAAAAATCCACAGGGAAGACAAGCTGATGCCGGGAACTCATGGGGACACATAGGTCCGGGGTAGCGGGGGGGAGGTGTTCCCGTATGAAAAGGTCGGGGATACTCGTCGACTCGCTTAAGAGTATAAATCAAGGATTTTGATCTCACTCAGGATGTTCAGGACGACACGCCACTATTTTTGCCGTCTTCTAGGGTTGCACTCGAAGAAATAGTAAAAACCCGCTGTCGGTCAAGGGGTCAAATAAAGCTCTAGCCAAACCCAGATCGGTCTCCGTTGGGAATTTAATTCAAATTTTCCGACGAGTATTCCCGATCTTCCCCGGAGTGCGTTCCTCTGGGCTTTCCCTGTACATTTCCATCCCGGGAGGTACTCCCTATAATGGCCTATACGGGGAGGCTCCGCCCGAAAGGGGCACCTTTTCCAGGCTTCAGGTATATAAAAGGGTATGGATTTCACAAGTTGAGGTATATAAAAGGGTAGGGAAATCTGTCATTTAGGTATTTAAAAGGGCCTTTAATTAAAATATTTCGAATGGACGTTACAAGGGTTTAGAAAGGGGGTGCAGTGTTCTAAAGTACGTATGTGAAAGGGGTACTTTTTTTCAATAAAAGATATATAAAAAGGGTACCTTTTCTGCCAAAATGGTATATAATATATATATATATAATGGCAAGGGGTTGGACCTCGGAGCGGAGCCTCCCCATATTAACATTTGTTAAGTACCCCCCCGGGATTTCCATGTGGTTTTCTTTGCCTGTTTACCTTGTTTTCAGTTTCAGTCCCTTCTGCCTAGCTGTACTAGACTGTTCACAGCCCTCTATTTTGTCCCTTCGATTCTCGTGCCAAGGCCCCGCCGGCTAAGAGAAGCGAAAGGGCTATGGGGACGAGAATGGGTAGGGGGTAGGGACCTCGCTTTTTCTTTCGCGTGCTGTGAACCGCCTAATCTGTACGGTCCCTGTTTTTCTTCCTGTGCGTGCGTTTCGTTGCGTTCTCAGTGAATTTGGCGTATGTTTTTTGTCTTGTTCGTGTCACCCTAACCGTGGTGATTGGTAGAAAATCATCGTGGTAAAAAGATGAATCCATTTCGATAGTGATTGGCTATTTGAAAGATCACCGTATTAAAAAGGGAACACATTTTGGTAGTGATTTGTAGAAAGATCACGGTGATGAAAATGAAATCGTTCTTGTCTTGGACTGGTAGAAAAATGGAAAGTGTTATAGCACAAGCGCTAGTGGGGCCGGGCAGACAACTGAAACGAATAATTCAAATTGAACATAACACTGTGTGCTCGGCTATAAATGTAGGTGATTCGGCAAATGATGATGGTGATGATAGCGATGATAACAGTGTTTGTCAATGACACCTTTGCACTGTAAAGATAACATGACGATTAAAGCAATTACTTGGTTTGTTGCTACTGAATTTCTTTCTCTTTGGGACACTTTCTACCAAGCAGAATCGAACAACAAACATTCAACAATGATTTTTTATTTTTTTTTTCTTTTGTTTTAGTTGTTGTTTTTTTTAATTTACGCACAAAGCCCAACTACCAAGTGATGCCAAACAGCGTTGGCCTACACATGCACAAATCACACTTTTGTATGTTAAATCTAATGTCTGGATGTGATTTCTAGTGGTTTCTTAAAACCACTTTTTTTTTCCTAAAACCATTTTTTGTAGTTAAATATAAAAATGCTATTCAAATTTATTATTTTATTGTCCCATTAGCACTTCAGTATACAAGAGCTAAATCTCAAGTTGCCGCCTGTCCTGTCCCCATTTGTGCTTAGCAGACATTATAAAACTATTTTTGTATTATTCCATCAAGAAGTTACAAATTCCATCAAAAACTCATTGGCATTCTCACGCGTACAATATTTCTGAAATGACCAAGTTCTTTCTCTCTTGAAGCGGTAATCACTTTCAACCTTCCACGTATGGATAAAAAATAAAATGACCTTCAGATACATCAACAGTAACTAACTACAGTACGGTGGTCACTAAAGTCTTCAAATCCCAAGATGACAAATTAAATTCTCTTTCCTATTCTCCTGTATTTTCTATAGTTCCCTTTGGAGAATTTAAATTTAAAATCTGCTTTGAGAATTCTGTTATGACCTCAAATGGCTTTGAATTCAAATCACTGTTGTCCAAGACTACCTTCATATGCATTACTTAAAAATGCTTTTATGACGCAATGCTGTGAAAGTCTGGTGGGACAGTCCGAAACAACAGATGTTTAAATTGGAACCATTTTCCAAATGGTCTATCACAAAGCATGCGAGGACTGCTAAACAACTGTTTGCATACCTGGGACTTCAAGAGTTGAGACGTTCTGAACTCTCCAACAACACCTGACTGATAACATACTTGGAAAACTTTTATAGCTGTACATGACACTGAAAAAGAACTCAAGTATTGAAGCCCCAGTCTAATGCACACCCTTTAGCCCATGATGATTACGCGTCTACATGTACTCCACAATTTAATCCCAGAGTTTGGAAAATTTCAATTCTCTCTTTAAGACATTGTATATACAATTGATTGCATCTCAGCATAAACACATCATGAAAAAACATGATCTAATTGGGTATCACACATATTTGCATTTCAAGTTTGGAAGACTGTAACACAAACTTTATTACGTTCCATACCCAAAAAGATGATATTTTTCAAAGACACGTTCACATACGCAACCACAGGTATTTTATACAAATGAATTTTGAGAAATCTGACTTGACTATGACTTAACATTGCTATACACTAATGAAAGAGGTATTGCCTTCAGTAAAAATCCAGCAACATGACTGACACAGATTTGTGAGAGGCAGTAGGTTTCTTTCAAACAATAATTTGTAATTCTATCAGTGTTCCAAAAGCTATGACCAATGACATCAGCAAAAAGAGGTCCCTACCCTGCCCCACCCCTGGTAGGGTCTTGAAAAGATAAATAAGACAATATTATGACTGAAGGTTAGGATATGTAAGTACCCACAACAGGATATTGACTGATCTTGAACTTAAAACGTTTTCAAACAGTGCTCTACAGCGTTGTTGAATAACTACATGTCAACAACCTTACACAGCCCTGACAAAGTAATGTTACTTGTTCCTGATGCAGAAAGTCTGATATGTCATTCTTCCGGGCCTCTGCTTGGGTGTATTTATCAAGAAGAGGGCCTGCAAGTCGGTAGTGTCGCTAAGAACTTGCACCATTCTGAAAACTTGACATGCTCAGCTTTCCCTTCATGATCCCAGTCCCATCATGCCAATGACCAAGATGAGGAGCTCCGCTACTGAACAGGTTTAAACCCCTTTTGAAAGTGGGCCTAAGGCATTCCTGACAAGCAAGTCAAGTTATTGCAATCATTTATTTTCAGCTCAATCTGTCATCTCATCATCCATACTAGCGGAGCGTGGACTGGGGTTGCAGGATGAGGGGAGCGAATAGTCCTCCATTGGTTCCTGGTTTTCGCGACTACATGGAGTTGCTGCACAACCACCGTCCACAGGTTCTTGCTTTATTTGCATTACGTCCGTGGTTGGCTTTGAGGTTAAAATAGTTGACAACAATGCTGTTGTGGTGTCTGATGTCAGAGGCGTCGTAGGAATTCCATGCGCACGAGCATGCATCTCAAGCTCCTGAAGATTTCAACAGAAACAACGATTAATAATGGTAATAGGACTAAGTGGAGTCCAATTTGGTCTGTAATCATACAAGTGATTAACAAAATCAGACAACCGCAAAGCAGGAGTCCAATCTGTTAATCACGAGTATGATTACAGACTGAATTGGACGACGCGAAGCATGACACGTACACTGACCAGTTAATACTCAAAATGGGCTGCTGATGGCCAATCACATTTGCTAATTTTGTTATAGTTTTGATTAATTCTCCAATTCACAGTCTAACCAAAGTGAATGTTTACAAAAATTCATCAACATTATGATTTTAGTAGTAAGTGAATGAACTGTGCTGGGCTTTGAATAAAGAGGTCTATGCTAGCTAGCACCTGCCAAACACACATGTACACTGTAAATAGTTATGTCGTGCTTTTAGGCCAGATCTACTCTTCACTCATCACACCTCTCTCTCTAAATCATACCCATGAGTATACTAGCAAATAGATACCAGAACAATTTTAAAAGATTCCAAAATAAACTAGCAGCCCATCAAAGGAAGTAACAATATACATGTACCTAGCTGATTCACGCGACTGTAACTTAAGCTCAGTTCCCTTAATTATTAAAGAAATAGTCAATGCAGCCAACTGCATTACAAAGCATAAATGATGATGAAACTTTATGAATACAAATCAATAGTTACTCAAAGGCAATCCTCACCTGAACTCGAAGTAAAAGTCTTCTGTTGAGTTCCTCAGTGTTCCGTTTTTCTTCCTCTACTTGTCTCATGCGATCTTGCTCCCGTCTTAACTTCCGGATATAATCCACCGAAGCCTTGAGAATGGTTCCCTTGTTTTGCCGCACATCACTAAAAACAAAACAAAACCCATTCGTAAATTGCACTGGACATTTTTTCCCCACCATGCAACACTGCAGTCCCAAAAACGAAACAGCCAAAATGCAAAAAAAAAAATCCAAGACAGCAACCTTTGGAGAAATGGTGAAAATTTTGTCACTCTAATTGCAATTTTGCAGGAATAAGGAAAATCAAGCAGGATTGAACTTACGAGTCTTGCTTTGGAAGAAGTGTCCCAAGTTCTTTGATTCTGTCATTGATATTAAATCTTCGCCTTCTTTCAACTGTAAGGAAAAGGCAATAGATGTAAATAAGTAAGTGAATGCAACATTCCACTTTCTATTTTGGAAGACTGACCAGAACCTCATTTCTCCTTACAAAATCAGCACACAGTACGGCAAACAGGTAAAGAGAATAAGGACAACTATCAACCAAGAGACAACCGTGTTGTGGTAGCCATCTATATAATGTTTAGGTACTTCAAGCATGGTTTTAAAACATGAAATTAAAATCAGATACTCACTCATGTTATGGTTGTCCTTCTTTTGTCTGTCTTTGGCAAAACTTTGGTCCAACATAAGCTCTGGATCAAGGGGGAAAAAAAACATTTTATAAATTAATTTCACTTCTACATTCAAATTTCCACAATATGGGCATCTCATCAAAGCCATTTGCCATTCACCGTTATCACACCACATGAATCGCACTGCGTGCAGCATGCTGTGATTTCATCATAATCCTAGTACTATGCGGGATGTTTGTCAAATAGAAAACTAGTTTACAAAGAAGTCACATGGAAATATTAACATCTTTGTGATGTCAATCAGTGGCATGATATGACGTTTCTGTATCTGTCACAAAACATCCCTTACCTTGTGACTCTTGCTTTATGACGGCTGGACAGGATGCTGCTGCTGGGCCCTGGATCTAAAATAAATATAAAACAATCCATTTGTCAAACAATCATTGGTCCAAGAAAATCAATCCAGTGTACCAAATTTAAAAACAAAAAATTCCAAGCTGACCTATAAATCAAATTTTTCAGAGGGCAAAGTTACTTACCAAGGTGCTCATGCCTAGTCCATTATACAAATCAAACACGTTGCTTGTTGCAACTTGTGGAACCTTAAATGAAAATGATGCAATTTGGTTAGCACATAGGCACACATGTAAGTGGAGTTTAAGCAATGAAAATATGAAAAATAAAGATAATTAGAATAAAAAACTTTCACAGTAGTTATACTTACCGATCCCAGAGTTAAAGTCGCATCCCAAGGAAGGCTATCATCGACTCCAGCATTCGACTCCAGACTAAAAACAAAATCAATGATCAAGAGATAAATTCCTGTTACTGACTGCTACACATTTCCTTAAATGATCAATATTTGTTTAGATCTGACAATTTTGTGCTAAATAAAGACACTACATGTACCTCTTAGAAGATATTTCTTAATTTAGTTATGTCTACTTGAAGAGAAAAAACTTTCCTCGCTGCAGGGGATTATGGAGTGAACTACGTTACTTTCTCAGCCATTATATTGCAATTTTGATACAATCTGTGAAATGAGTCAAAGTTTGTCTCAATTTATGGCGTTTAATGGAAACTTTAAGGTAGAAAAACATGAAGACGATCCCATATTGTCTCCAGAGGCTATAAATATAACTTAAAAAAAATAATTAAGACAACCAGAATGTTTACACTCACCTTATGATGTCATCAAGTAAATTATCGACCTAGAAAATGAGACAAAATATAATCTATGTTAGTGATACATGCATAATAACTCAATCAAAAAACAGCCACAAATTCTGCTTCTAAGCTGTAAGAAATAACTTAAAGGTAATTATAAATTTGTTGTAAATGACTGCATGAAAAAATTTATCCTGACATTTAAAGGTGCAGTAGTATAAATCACATCACAGATTGTGCTTCTTTAATGGCTGCCATGTAAGATCACATTGTTACACCTTATTTAGTCCTCAACGATTTCAATATGACCATTTGTTATCTTGAGCACTTGATTAACAGTAATTCAAGACAAAAGAATCTCCAGACACCAATAGCTGATACCAAAAGGCTGCCGTAATGTGAAACTTGCTGGTCATACATTTCACTGGCAATTAATGTATCTGATTACAAGGGGCATCTCATGAAAAGATCTCTTACATAATGTGTTAGACCTTGAAGAAAGCCTGTCCTAGAACTTACATCTGTTGGGTGATTTCCATCTGGACTCATAACAGCCATGGGACTCCCAGATTGTCCCACCAGCTGACCAGAAGATAAAGCAGCGACAGCTTGTTGATTTATAGCATTCAGGGTGGGCTGACTTGCACTACTTACAGCTAAATCTCCAGCTGCGGAGGGCGAGCCCTGAGTTTTCAAATATTCTTTTAACTGTCTTTTCTGTTTTTGGGCAATGAAATAGCGTGTGGGATTTTCCAGCTGTGTTTTAACCTGCAACAGAGTAATGAATGTTATCTTAATGCAAGGCACACTTCATTCATTCTATCCACCTGATGGATCTGCTAAATATTATTTGCACTCACAAGCCCATGTAACCAAACACCAAAAAAAAACATGTTCAAAAAATATTATTCCATGAATTCCTTCTAGCTTTTCACGTTATGTTCAGTTGAGAACATTCAGCCTCTCTGGGAGAAGTGTAAAAGTTAACCAAAGTATACAACTAAGTTAAAATCTTTTCATGATTTCATTCTTCTGCATTTGACTAAAAAATCCCTTAGAGAACATAGATTAACAAAGGTATACACAGCCATAAAAGGAAACATGCAATGAATCTCTTGTGGATTTAAAAGGTCAAGCTTAATGTTTAACCTTTGAAAAAGAGTGAATCCATTTTATCGTCCCTTTATAGTATTCAAACCTTTGCACTGTCAAAAACTATGCCCACATCTTCATGTGTTTGATTACCCATATTTGTTGACTCCAAACTTTGGACTCCCAAAAGACAGCAAACAACTGTGTTTAAAATGGACTTTACACTTGGGTGCACCCATAACAAATAAAATTTCCTTTCAAAAGATTCGCCCAGACATGACAATCATATGATATGTTCTTTTTCGATCACAAGGTTCCTGTTTTTAATTAGAAGATGTTAATGCCCGAGTAAGATTAATTACATACCCCAAGAACACGAGTTAATATTAAATAATAATATACATTAACAGTGTACTGAATTAAAATTTAAAAACTATCAAAGCCACGTGAAAGTCCACACATGCCCACAGTGAAATATAACTTATCAACAAGAAAAATTAGACACTCTCTCTGATTCTTACTTCCTGTAACAAAAAACAGCTTCCTCTAAAAAAAACTTATCAAATAAATCATCTTTAATTGAGATTATTGCGGGAAATCCTACCCAAACTAGGGAGCTTGGATAAAAAGGTTTACCAGTTTGACGAAAACTATTATATGTTTTGAGCAAAAAATATTTGAGCTAAGACACCTTAACCTGATTGCAGAGTCCCAGTGGTTCCATAAAAATCTGCCAAGTAGCTACTCAACACATGTAAGACAAAATTCAATTTTACCACAAGAACAGGAAAGTAATTTATTAGAATGCCTTCCCACCTGAAGTACGCTTGAAGGAACATCAGGAGGTAGTGTCGTAGGAGATGAAGTCCTCGGAACGGCTATACTTTGTGAATGGGGTTGATCAGGTTGGCCTACTTTCTGTGAGTGAAAGAGCTGGTCTTGTTGTTCAAGTTGCTGACGCTGGAGCTGTTGTTTAAAATTTGTCCGTGTCATAGGATTTGTCATGTTCTTGATGGGATCCTTGCGGTCTAACAACAACCCAAGAGTTGATGAATCGTCACTGCATTTGAAAGAGTTAGAAAAACTACTTAGAATCCACTTCAGAGGTTGTTCTATACGAGGATAATATCCCGCACTATAACTTGTTGCATATGCTGTTGCCATCATGACTATTAAAGTATAAATCCTCTGACACAATACAAATAAAACAAGCTGACTTCAATAAGTGTACAAGTGTCTGGTGCAGATTTTCTCTTAATACTGAACATGACTGTGACAGCGGGACTTTTATTATCTCTAACCCAACAGTCTAAAAATAGATAATGCATTATAAAAATTTCACGTAATCAGTGTTCAAACCATACCCGAGGGTAAAGGTTGCTATGTGTCCAGTGGGAGTCTATACTGCTTGACATTAATTGTAATAAGATCTTTCCATTTCCTGTGATGTAACACAAGTGTTGAAAATTGTTCCATAAAAGGATCTGCTCTGAATTACCCTTTGTTTTAAATGGTGTGAGTTAGCTTCACGCCCTTCAATCTAATTTTCTTGCACAGGAAGTGGAAAATTTTAATTTTCAATGTCCATAATGGATTGAGCACCATGCAATTTGATTTTTCTGGGTGGGACAGCTTTATTATTTAAAGGAATCCCCTTTGAGCATGCTAAAGCACTAGTTCCTTTCATGGGCATACTCAAATAGGCTCAGAGCAAAAATGACATTTAAGACAAACTCTCCAGAACCTTTTCCCACTATGGCATCACCAACCTGGTGAGCGAACTTTTCACCAAACTACAACTTTGTTTAAAAAAGTTGGTTCTTCGGATGAAAATTTTCCATGTCTTTAGATAAGAGGTAAGTACCAAAACTATTACGTAATTAAGATTTTAAGGCTTTGAACGACAACTTTAGCGGTGGAAAGGATAAATCGTCCTATAAATGCAACTTAACACCAGTGTGTTAGTATCCTCTGAGAGTGGAAAAGATTTTGCTTTTTCTCAGTCCAGATAAATGAACCACACAGTTTAAATCAAGTGCTTTTCAACTTCATAAGGCCATTCAGTAATAATTCTGAAAAAGTATGTGTACACCAGTATGATAATTTTCTCTGAATGTGGAAAAGATTTTAAATTTGTTTAATGTTGTTAAATGAACCACAGCTTAAGTCAATTATTAAGTGCTTTTCCACCTTATAAGGCATACAGCGGTAATTTCAAAAAGTACACAAATGAGTCAAAACAATGCTCAAATAGTGAAAAACAAAAATCTTTTCTAACCTTTGAGCACATCATAGATATGGATCTTTCGCAAATTCAATAGTTTTAAATCTAAAACTGTATATTATCATGTAAAAAAGCTTTCAATGCTTGGATGGACTTTTAATTCATGATAAGGGTTTTCCCCAATTTCAGCAACCCAACCCAAATAGATGGCACTTACCATTTAAAATTTGGTTTCCTGGTAATGCTGTCCCTTGCAAGACTGGAGATTGGAGAAATAAGCAAATGGAAAGGGAATTTGCGGCGTTCAGGTCCAAATGAGGAGAGGGGAGAACCTCTCGTGGGAGACCACAATTTCTGCATGGTTTTTCCAGAAAGTTTTTGATCCATTAGCCTTTGAAAATGTCCCGATTTTTTGTTAAATCCGCGAGCAGCGCTTGTTTTAAACAGCATATAACTGTAACTTCAGACTTTAAAATATCTAACGTGAACATCACATGAAACTTATTAAAAATTTTGTTCCGATAAATCTGGGCAAAACAACCGCACGTGGTAGAAACATGTACTAACGGATGCGTGATTTCACTTAACTTTGGGTTATACTTAATAAACAAATGGATAACACCGTAAAAGATGTACTTGTACCATAACGTTCTTTTTAGTTGCAACTATTTAGAACCAATTGTAAGATGCTGTCTTGCGATTGAAATGAAATCTTTTAAGGAAGCTATCGATCTAGCAAGAAATCGCGAGAAAAGATAAAATTGTTTAAAGTGTATGAAAGTGAAGTATAAATTTAAAAATGCGACTGGATAGCACTCATGAACCATTTTACGGGCCAGGCGAAACGAAACCGAAAGGAATGGAGCCCTTCAAGCGACAGGAAATTTGATCGTTCAGAAATCGCGCCAGCACGCTTTCGAGAACTTCCTTTATTTCTACGAAACGAAGAACGACATTTACCACGGCAAAGTAAAAAAAAATACAGGTAATAAAGCTTACAACAATCTTAAACGAGGTATGTACAATTTGTACACAAACAAAACTACAAATGAGTGGCTACGGACCCTTCTAAGCTTCGAGAAAGGCATTGTCTGTGCGATTGCAGACTGTGATTACAAATTTGACATACAAGAGAAAATGGTTGCCACAAACATCATATTCACAGTTAACAAAAGGGTCTTACGTAATGAATACTGTAGAAATTACAGCTCTGCAAAGTCCGTGAGCTGTATATAGAGCAGCGCATGTGTTTTCTGATGTAACAATCGTCATATGACTATACATCTGCAGAACTCTCTTGCCCGGGCGAGCCAATAGTCGATGTCCGCTGCACAACGGGCATGTAAAGGATATTTCTTCTAGGTGACACGAAATTTTATCCTTGGAAACTAAGCAAACCATACTTTAAGCTTATTTAAGATCTTCGCTCATGCAAAGCCCTGATTGACGGAGAGCTAGCGCTCGATCGTATTTCGCTTCCACAAACTAGCAAATCCCAATATTACGAGGACCGGATCTTTCAATATGGAATGCTTAATATGTAAGTCTTCAAAATGCAGCTCGATAAAAAGATATTTTGCAGTGTACAGTAAACCATATGAAGCCCAACGCGAGCCAGTACTTTTGGAAGGTCGACTGTAATTGCGTTGCGTAGGAATTAATCGACAGGCAAGCTCGTCGACATTCAACGATCCAAACTTACACTCGATGATGAAGGCCTCTGGGGGTTTTGAATCACATAAAATGTGTAATCGGTGCGATTGCACGTCTTAAAAAAACATACTTCCTTGTAAAAACCTACCTTGGCCAAGCCTTCGACTTCAGCTCGTAAAATATTTCACTGTCGTCTTGTGTATCGAAGCCTTCAGGACTTAGAATATCAAAGTCGAGATCTACTCCGGACTCATTCATTTGAAAGCCTTGAGAATCGGGATTGAAAAGAAGCTAAGGTTGCTGCACCGAGAGGAAGAAAAACTTCGTAGAAACTAGCGCTGAGTTCCACCTTCGAGTTTCATCCCGAAAGCCGACCTGCCATGTTTTTTCTTTGCGTGGGTTGTGCTCTGATTGGTCACTTTGGACCATGTGACTTTAAAAATAACATCTTACATCACTGTAATATAATTGGTCTATTGGGAATGGGCAGGGCTATAATTATTGGAATGTTTTCTTGTGGTTTTAAACGTCAATCCTTATGCCTTTTATGGGAGGCGATAAGTGCGGGCGTGAAAATGAAAATACCTAATCTTTTATGGCCTCTCCGACCGATATCTCCAGTTTCCTTCATTTGAGAAGCAAAGAAATATGAGACGTGGAGTTAAGGTGCTCTGCTTCGCAGGTAATCCTTTCACTGACAAAGCCTTAGAAAATAGCATTTTGCGGGCGATAGAATCAAATGCAAAAGAAAGCTCAGAAATCATGTAAATCATAGAGACATTTTTATTTGATCTTTATATAGAAGGATAACCCCCTTTTGAGTGTGACACGTGTTATTTTTTTTTTAATGAAATTAAAATAAAACAAAGTTTTCCTAGGAAAACTGAATTGAAAACTGACAGGGTCAAATCATTCTTTCGTGTGTGACCTTTGTGCTATTTTGACTACGACTTCCTAGAAAAAACTAAATTGAAAATTCACAGGGGTAAGTCCCTCTTAAGTCCTCTCTGTGTGACTTTTGAGCTTTTTCTTTCTGGAATAACGTAATTGAAAATTGACAATGAAATCTCTCATAAACAAATTGAATTGAATCTCGTGACTGGAGTTCAGGCTGGGGTCGCGCTTGCGGACAAAAGTTGGTATTATCATGAACGCGCACAAACGCGACCAATGTTGATTGAGGGGAACAAATTGTCCAAATAAAATAACGAAAAAGCACTTGTTCTATGAATGGTCTGTCTCACACGAGCAATATGTTTTGTCATTTTCATTCTTTCTCAGAAAGAACAATCGCATCAAATGCCGCTTACTCGTTTCAAGTGGCTTAAAATGCTGTCAAAGAAAACTTCAATAGCGCCGTATTCCTGCAGATGGCCTCGTCAAACATAATCCCACGCACCTCGTGACTCCAACCAACTCCAACTTGATGAACCAAAGCTTTTTTTTTGTCTGAGAGTACAATTTGCATATTGCAGATAGCACAGGGTCAACAAATTTTCAATTTGAATTTAACGAGGCCTCCGCCATCGCGAAAAGTGGATTTATTGTGTGTGACATACCTGGAAACGAAAAATGTTCCGGTAACATTTTACATAATACAATAATAATTATAATAATAATGATGATGATAGTCATCATCAGCGTCATCATCATCATCATCATAGTAACAAAAACAATTTTATCACCAGTTTTTCCACTAGGTGGCTCTTCATTTGTTAATAGACACGTCTAGCTAAAATGATTTCAGTTAAAGCAAATTTAGGAAAAACTAATGTAAATGAATCTCAAGATTCCAAACGGCTAACTAATGAAAATTTACAGTGGTAGAAGGTGATAAAAGGTGTATTTATAAACTGCATCAAAGAGAACGTAAGGCTGGAAAAAGAGGTAAAGCTGGTTTCCGCGGGCGCAAAACCAAGGTCATTTCGAACTGTTGCAGACTGAACAAGTGAGATCAAGAGCAAATCTCTTGGTGAGATGTAGTTAAAGCTTTGGCCAACCCTCTCACTTTGACAACCCTCCGTTCCAGTTTGTTTCAGTTTAGTTTAGTTTTGACTTCTTTTTTGTGAGCGTGTTCTTTCAGTTTATTTTCATTCTTTAGTTTTATTTAGACTATTCAAGCAAGAAAGTTAACGTAAGTAAAGTAGCATGACGTTTCGGCGACTTCATGTCATCATTGTCAAATGAATTGAACTAAAAATAACGACAAGGCGCACAGGGCCGTAGCCAGAAACAAATTATGACTGAGGCAGTGTCCGAGAAATGAGTTGTGACTGAGGCAATGTCCGTGGTTTAATTCTTTTCCTGGGAATTTAAAGTGTTTTTGATGACTATAAACAGCAAAAACGAAAAAAATGACTGAGGCAAGTACCTCGGTTTGCCTGTTACTAGCTAGGACCCTGGCATATTTATAGTACTTAGGATGTGAGGAAATAAATTAGCAAACGTGACATGAAAGGAGACATTTCATCACTTGACCTCAGGTGTGACCTTGCAGACCGTGACTTGAAAATACACGTACCCGATAATCCATGGGGTGCGACAAACATCCCAAATGGAGGCGAGAAACAGATTAATACTCATAATATTTAAAACAAACAAGCTGGATAAAGACCTTGGACACTTACAAATGTCATAATTCAAATGGGGGAACCCTTTGCACTTACTGAAATTTTGATAGTTATGTCAAATAAGTTTTTTATTATCAAAAAAAGTCTAAAAGTCTAAAAGTCTTGGTAGAAGAGTGCAATGTGAAATAGACACCGTGGGTAAATAAAGATTTTATCATATTATATTCGTCTCTTTGTAAAACCTAAAATGTCTGATTTTAGCCCTCCAAAAAGTTGATGACGCTGATGAAAGAGGCGGTGTTGCAGTTCTTGATTGTGGTTTCTACTAGACCCCAATGCCCCCTCCCGATAGCAATCGCGTGATCAGCGACGTGTACGAAAATATGCAAAACTGGAAAAAAATGCGTTAAACATTGAACAGAAGACGTGACCCTATATTATAAAGGAGTCCTGTACCCTGGACCCAGACGTTTTCTTTCTCCTTAATTGCCCCACTGCTGTTAAATAAAAACGCCATTGCATTGGCTGAAGCGAGCTCAGATTTGATTGAGAAATAGACAAGAAAAAGCCTCTTGAAGCCAGGTAAGTGTGATAGTACCGGCTGAGTCGAGGAAAGCGAACCTATACAGCCGAAACGTCTCAAATTCAAGAAACCCTACACGATATCAACCACTAAAAAGATTGTTTAGAATACCCCCTGGAACTCGACTCACCCCATAAAATACTGGTGAAAACGTATTCCTCCCCATCCCCCTCCGCCCCCAAAATCCCCTCGCCAAAAAAGTATAAATAAAATATAGGAAAAAAACAAAAGTTCCAATTTCATCATCCCCCACCCCATTAAAAAAATTGCACCTAAGGAGCTCCCCTTTCCCAGATTCACACATTTCTGCGGGATAGGGAAAAAATTATCCAACCTCAGACCTGTAATGGAACACCTAGCTTGGGAAATAGAAGTATCAGCAACTGAAGAAGTGTTTGGTGATACAAAATTAATAGCAGTCCCACAATCCTTTTTTAACTTTGTTCTATGACATGTTTATTAGAGTATAAAATTTTAAATAAAAATAGAATGATAAGATCAAGAAAGACGTGTTTAAATTGTCTTTCTAAGGGGACTTGCTTGACTTGTGGAGGAGAGGGGTAAAAACTGGAATATTCAGGTCTCTTGCATGTAAACACATCATGCCATAGCTAGTAAATGAAGCTATTGTTTTTCAAAGCTATTTGGCCATTCCCAGTGGCTCACTAAGCACACCCAAAGTAAAAGCACATTTTAATAGGTGATGATTGATCATTGTCAAAAAATCAAAACCACTTCTGCTTACAAGCAAATTAAGACCAACAAAAATATTGTACTTTTATTCATTTTATTCCCATTCCTATCATTAGTGTTTATAATAAAGCATATTCATCGGTAGGTATAATTGTGAAGTAATTTTAAGAAGAGGAATCAGCAGTGAATTCTATGTAATATATCAAACAAAAAAGACTGTGTTTGACCTCATTTTCCAAATACTGAGAAGAGAGTTGAAATTACAATGTACAGCGGAGTTATTATAATAACTCTGATAATTTTTCACAAACTTCGTGGTGTTCTGAAATGTGGCCAAACACGGTCTTGAGTGGTTGATATATCTTCTCACTCAAAACTAAAACTAACGAGAAAATGGAAAACAAATCGTAAAAAATCTATGCTAACTCCCGGGGGGGGGGGACTCCCATATAAAATGGACGGGGATGCTCGTCGGAAATTTTGAATTTAACCCCTAAAAGAGACCAATCTGGGCGTGGCCGAAGCTTATACAGACCCCTAAAAGAGACCAGTTTATAATACAGACAAATAAAAAGTACAATGACTTTTAATGATGGCAAAGACCTTATCATCGAATACTTTTGCCTACAAGTAGTTTATAAAAGTGTTGTCATAAGTCTTCAGCGCATCATATTCGATCATTTGGTGGAACAGCAAACTTTAAAATGTAAAAAATTGTTAAAAAGAACTGTAACTGCAGAATATCCTTGAACAATATATACACCATACATTGTATTCCATATATGAAGGGAAAAAGCTGCAACCCTAAACGAGACCTTGACGGCTAAAAATAATAAAATTTTGCCCAGAACACCCTAAGCGAGACCAAAATCCGAAATTTACACCCCTAAGCGAGACGACGAGCATCCCCGTCCATTTCATATCGGAGTCCCCCCCCCCCGGGGTTAACTCAGGCATCAGATATCCAGACACTGTCACAGTCATGATTTCCTTTGTTTTAACTCTATAAGTTATTAATTATTGAGTTTAAGAACAATAAATAAATAGTTTTAACTCTTGGTAGAAAATAATCAAACTCAGCTTTGCCATTAAGAATATTCTGCACATAAGAAATGTTGTTCCAAACATTTGAGATTAAGAGATGTGTAAAGTGTGAATGCAGTCCTACTTGGTATAAGCAGACACTGTTGAGAGCAGAAAAAAGTGCTTGCTTAGAAGAAAGGTCAATTGATCGATCTCTGCTGATGGAAAATGAAAAATGTGGTCCATGTTTGTGTCCACCTAAAAGAGGGGTATCATCAGAGGTACAACAGAATTACAGTAAGTACTGTCAGTAGTTTATTGCTCCAGGCCAATAATTTATATTTTCAAGTACAACACCCATCATTGGAACACGTCATCTGAAAATCCAAATGATCAACCTAAAACATTATTCCAAGTCTAGACTGAGATAGTTTAGTTAATATGGCAAGTAATAAGGGCTGTTTGACATTTTCAAGACATATAAGTACTTAAAGCGACTCCTCTGTGTTAAACACACTCTTCTAAAGAGATTCAGCCCTTGATGGCAAATTATCCTTTATCCTTTATTCTCAAGTGACTCTTTTCCAAGTGGCCTGGTTCAAGTAGTCTCACTGAGATTCTCTGGTTATTAGTATTTACCTGCTTGGGTTTCAGAAAGCTGGTATAAAATCATAATTGTTTTGAAATTCTATGTACCCAGAGACACTACTGTCATCAAAATGTTAAGGTTGCATGCGCAAAGCACCATCCAGCCTTATGACTTCGCCATTAATCATTGGGTTCTCAATGATACTCTGCACCAATTGGCCATATTCCGAGGGGTCACCAAGGCGACTTGGGAAAGGCATTGTCTTTCCCAGCTCATTCCTCACTTTCTCCGGTAACTGCATCAGTAATGGTGTGAGGAAGAGGCCTGTAAGGAGGGGTCATAGAAACATGGCTTTAAGTATGCAATTTCTATGTGTAAAAATCAAGTGACCTTAACCGATTGTTTTAGTAGAATTCTAAGAAAAATTTCCCATCAATGAAAATTCCCAATTATTTCTCTTCGTAGTGTTAAACTTCTAGCTTTAGGAAAATCGCACAGAATGAATAATTTTTAGAAACAACACAACATTTTTTAAAAACATATTTCAACAGAATCTTCTGTCATCTTCAGTTTAAATTACAAAGTACAGAGTTGGATATACAGTGTACACAAAATGCTAATTGACTATAAGAACAAAAGGAAACATGACAATGTAAAATACTACAAAGAAAGTTTTAAATTAACATGATATCATGTTAATTTAATCATGTTAATTTCAAACTTTCTTTGTAACGTTTCCTTTTGTTCTTATCGTCAATTAGCACTTTGCGTACACTATATATCCAACTCTGTACTTTGTAATTTAAACTGAAGATGACAGAAGATTATGTTGAAACATGATTTTTAAAAATCTTTGCGTTGTTTCTAAAAATTTTAACATGTCTGCTACCATCCAGACCTTTTGGTAATGATTAATTACCTGAAATTTGCTGATCTGTATGTGCACATCAATTTATTGAACAATTTCGAAATGTCAACAAACTGTAATAATAATAATAATAATAATAATAATAATAATAATAATAATAAAGATCTTTCAACAGGGAGCCCACTTCACATACATGTGGTTTTCAGTGGGGCCCTGCAAAGATAAAATTGCAAAAGCTAAAGAAATAGTAGATTAAAAATAATAGTTTCTGTGAATATCTTTCTTGTAGTCTTCTATGGAATTTAGCCATCCATTCATTTCTAAATGTTCCTTCAAAACATAGGGAAAATGGGAATGTGTTACCATTTTGTAGATCACCTCAACAGGTTCTGCACACTCATCGCTGATAGTGTACAATAACTCAGCAAATCAGATTGCAGCATTTGCATTCACATATGGTTAGAATTCTACTTTCGAGATTTAGCAAAGAATTTGTGTGTGCCTAGCCTCCTAGCTACCTGTACACATACTTGTCACGTAATCTTTCTCCCCCAGAAGATTGTGTGACAAGCCCAAAGAGTGTCTACGTAGGAGGCTAGTGTGTGTCATGTTCCTAATGAATAAACTAACTTACCAGGAGCAATAGTATTAACTCTGATCCCATACTGTGCCAAATCTCGAGCTATCGGTAGTGTCATTCCAACAATTGCACCTTTTGACGCTGAATATGCAGCTTGTCCAATTTGACCCTCATAAGCAGCAACACTAGCAGTGTTCACAATCACTCCTCTCTCCCCTCCCTCATTTGGTTCATTTTTTGCCATTTGTTCTGCAACAAGTCGAATGACATTAAAAGTCCCAACAGTATTCACCTGGTCAAGACAAAACCTTCAAATTACTTGACATGTATTCAACAGGTACTACATTAAATCTAAAATGTTAGGAGAAAACACATGCTTGTATGTATACATGTTGCCTTACTCCTGATGAAGAAGTCTGAGATTTGAGCCAATATAACTGTGAAAAACAATTTCCATGTTTTCTCAATTAACAGCCATTTTATTTGAAACCCAGAAAAACCAGTGTTTCCCTGAAATAGGCCTTTATTTTGAGCTAGATGTTTATTAACAATAAACATCTTTAAGTAATCTTGAGTATTGTTCATAGTTGGTATTCAATAATTTCGTGTCATGCAACCATTTATTTCTCAATGTTGTAAGTGAACTATATACCTATAAACAGCCCATCAAATTTATGCAAGTGCTGTTATCAATTACTTGTTAGTTTGTGCCCAACAAGAGCATTTTGCATGACATAATTTTCTCAACTTATTTTTCCTGAGTAGAATTTGAGGCAGTTGGCCAATACTGGGTATTTACCTTCAAGACTTTCTCAAATTGAGCAAGAGGATGAGCTCCCTTTTTTGAAACTGTTTTTGCTGCATTACCTATTCCAGCACAATTCACAGCTACGGTTAGACATCCAAACTTCTCATTAGCAAGCTTGATAGCTTGTTGAACATCAGCTTCTGATGTAGCCTGGGCAATAAAACAAATATTAAATAACCATTTAGTTAATAATTCTCAATCTAACTTGCTTCCCTGAAAAATCAGGTGCTGTATTAATTTTCTCAAAATTATTTACTGTCCATTGGATTAAGGTGTAAAATTTTGTGCTTACACATAAATTTAAGAAAAGCAGTAACTGGCCAAGAAAAAAATTATTGCCCAAGAAATACCATAATAATTTGATTTAGTGCCTTGGGTGCTTGGGCAGTTCAAGGAAGGGTGCCTATTGTAGATGGATACTTATTAGATTTCAGAACAAGGGGCTTAAATTTCCTTTTAAACACATACATGCACATGGTGATAAAATACTTAAATGAAAAACAACAGACACTTTCACTTTAGAACTGTAACAACAGAGGCTCTGATGGTCATAATATTCAAGTACTTCATTCATGTGAGGAGGCTGACTTCATAATTCATTCATTCTTGGATGTCACTTTTGTTACAGGGTGCACATTAAAAGGGGTTGCTCATTGGAATAGGGCAAAAAGGTTGCATTCAGTGGGGAGGGCTTATTAGAAAGGGGGCACTTGTGAGGGTCTCCCAGGGGTTTTGGGGAACAAGGGGACATGATCATATATTTAAACAACAACATCTTTTATTCAAACACTGTGGGTAACTAGAGATATTTTTGGGATTAATTTGATGTAACAAGGGTAAAATGAAATTTTCAAGGGTTTAAATGAACATGCTACTCCCCCATGGGAGGCACTCACTCATTGGAAGGAACAGCTCTAAATCAAAATCATATGAAAGCAAACTTTGGAGCAAGGGCTTTAATGTACCAGCCAGTAGAATATAGTAATTCTGTATTAACGTTTTTACATACTGTTACGAGACTTTTTTTGCATATTCTTTTTTCCAACAAAATCTTTCTGCTCATTTTCAATTATCCAGAGCATGTGACAAGCATTACTGCCACACCAAGTAAACACTGATATGCGTTCTCGTGTTTATCATATGACCTGTATACATTCCACACAAAACATTCTTCGAAGATTAAAACAATCAATTTTGAAATCAATCATCAATCAGTGAAAGACCACAAAAGATGTATCAAAAATTATTTACCGACTTCCATATCAATCAATGTATAGATATAAATTTACATATCATCGATTCCAGGGCACACACTCGTCCCCGCCCCTACCCTGCCTTGTCGGCGTTGCGTAATATTTCGGACAAGGAGCAAATATCCGATCTCGGTGCAAATGTTCCTGTCGAGGGAGCTAGTACAGTAGGAGTGTCCAGAATAAGTCTATCGAGGTAACAGTTCCTGCAGTCCCTGTCAACGACAGGAAGAGAGTACGCTCATCGGATTAAACGAGTACGGAAAAATATTTCAAACTTTGCTTACATCAGTTGGCGCGAAACAACAACTTTCTCCGAGTTCCTTGGCAACGTTTTCTCCATCACTTGAAGGAAGATCAGCTATCACTACTCTTGCGCCATTCTGTGCCAGTCTTTGAACAGTTGCCCGGCCTAACCCTGAAGCACCGCCTGTAACGATACACACCGCCTTCCGTAAAGCGGCCGCCATGTTGGTGTTACACGTGTATTGAGCCTGCCTGCTCGTGAAACAAACTTGTCAGCGGTGTAAGTGTATAAAAGTAACGAAAGCTTCTCGCAGGAGCGCCCTTTCGTCGCATTTCGCGGTTCACAGTCGAACCAAGGTTATCAATTAGTATAGAATCTACTCTTTCCCAAGAAGCCAGCCAAAACTCAAAAAACAAAGCAAAATAAAACAAATAACAACACACTTTTCCGTTACCTCCTATCCCCTGGAAGCCTAAAACCCCTGGGGATAACCTGGTCAGAGTTGCAAAAAGATCGTTACACCTTTGAAATATCTCGATTGTTGCCTCTTCTCTAAGGTAACATTCTTTGCCCACTACCAGACCTCCTTGTTTAATATCTTATGGCTGTATTTTTGTTTGAGAATAAAAATTTTTCTGTTAAGCTTGTTCATATTAAGGCGGGGGTACACATGAGTTTAATAGGAAGTTTAAAGAGGGATTAAAAGGATAAAAAGGGGTTTGGAACACCACCAGACAGTTGATTGCCCCCAAATGGGCACCCCTGGTTGGTGGGCAACTGTTTGGTGTACGTCTTCCAACTTCTAACTTCAAATTCTAATTTTAAAACATCATCAAATCTTCAAAATCTCCTATTTCCATAAATTTTACTAATCCTTTGAGAAAAACTATTCCCAAAAATACCCAAAAATCACCAAAAAAGTTACAAAACAGCCCAAAACGTAGCTATGTGAAATGAGCAGAGAGATTTTTCACTGCTTGAAGCGTGAACGAGATATTTGCATTCAAACCATAATACCCAGCAAAAATATGGCCTTCATGTTAACCCCCGCCTTAAAGATGCATTTCGCTTTATTGATAAGCGTTTTGAGAATAAAACGCTGTTATAGAACGTTAAAGTGGCTTTCGTTTAATTGTCAAACATAATCCGAAATCTTTTTTTTTTTTTTTTTTACTTTCTTTAATTATAGACTGATTGAAAACCTGTCTGGAACTTACTCAGACACAAAACCAAAACCAGTCGAAATATGGCCAGGCTGCTGGGCTCCTTTTACTGAGCTTGGTGCCTACTACGCGTATTTCCTTCGTGTTCCGTTTGGTTCATTGCGTTCTTTTGTTAGCTGTGACTGGTTAAGAATGACGTTTACGGCAATCAGTATACGGGGGACATGACTACTTGACCATTTCTCCCGCCAGTTTTTAAGTTTGCCGTTTCAACGAGAGGAGGAGAGGTTTCACGTTCATGAAAGACGCGGGGGGAAACGTGACTAAAAATTGACTAAAAAGTTTCAAAACGTTACAACAAAGCTAAAATCTTCAGGAAAATACTATCACAATAATGGTTTATTTTTTGGTATACGATTAAAACGAGAAAACATTGTCACTCAAGTTTAGTAAAAAGTTCAGCTGACATTATACCATTGTAGCTTCCCCCAAAGTGAGAAAGCATAGAAAGATAGGGGGCGCAGTTAGGACCAAGATTAGATTGAATTCCGTAACTGTGCAATGCTAAGAAGGAGTTAAGGTGGCTTACTACAGTTTTTTGGAGACTAGTAGCGCGCATTATGATTGCTTGCCAGATGTCAGTATTAATCGCGGGTGCACAAATGACGCAAGGAACCCTAAGAAGAAACGAAAACCACTTCAGCACTTGAAAGGCGTTAAATCACTTCAGTATACATAGCAATAGTTTCAAATTCAGTTCAAATGTGTGGCTAAGACTGGGGCCAAATAAATATGACAAAAAAAATCGATAAACAACCGGTAAAAGAGCCCTAAATTACTCTTGCTTTCTCGCACGCGATACATGACGTCACATGAGCGCGCGCTTAAATAAAGGGCATGCGCAGAATGTATACCAAGGTTTTAAAAAAGCCAGTCTTTGATTTAAGATCGCTGGAAAACCTGCCGTACAACCCATGATGAAACTTTCACAGTCGATTTGTAGGGTTGAATTACGTTTAGAGCCAAAATGTAAAAAAATCTGTAAGACAGATATTGAGCTATTTTTGATTTCTCATTTCCTTAGTTTGCGAAAATACAGATTTTTATTTTACTTTGCATGAATGTTAAATCAGTGCTAATTTCTTATCCCTGAAATTTTGTGGTGGGGTCATACGGGTATATATTGAGAAAAACTTGATCTAACCTACTAGTGCCCAGTCTCTCCTTAGGTACTCGGTCGTTCATTTTGGTCATTTGTTGAAGTTTAATTGTTCAAGTTTCACATAGAATGGTAAAAGACTTAAGTAAACAGTAAATAGAGAATCTTGGAACATTTTTCAAAAGAGTTAGAAGTTGGACTGTTATAATCCATCAGAACTGTAGTAAGCCACCTTAATCAGCTAAACACAGTTTGGATGGCAGTTAATCATAGAGCCAAGTCTAAAATTCCACCGGTATATACTCTTAAGCCATCAATTCTGCTCTTCTTTCAGAAATAAACTTCTATAAATAAATATTTAATTAATTCCTGATATTAAATAAATATGATGTTGCTAAAATATTTTTGCAATAAATGTGAATTCTGCGGTTTTATTAATAACTGAACTTTTTGCATGCTTTTTGTTACTATCATAAACAAATCTTTCAATTTTACCAGCACTTGTTAAATATTTTGCGTTGAAGTCTAAAACTCACTCACCGACTTACTCACTCACTTACTTAGTTACTTACTTACTTATTCATTAGTTCTATCAATATTACTGTCATCCTTTGCTTCTTGCGTTCAGTCATTAAATGCTTCTCATGTTCCATTCACACTTTACTCATTTACTCATCCATTCTTTCATTCATCTACCAACTGGCTCATTCATTATTTTCACTCCTACATTGATTTACATTGATTTGAGCGAAGAGTTGAAAAACCAAACAGCGAGATGTCGTGTGTCAGGAACCAAATTTGATAGTCATACTTGCGCGTTCAATCTAATCCCCCGAGAAACACGTAGGAGATAAGTTTGCAGGCACGGTGATGACCCTGATTGGTTGTCATCCACACGCCAGTGAACCATTCAGAGACACTCTACGAATCTGTGTTGGGTACATCATTATTGGGGAATATTTTGGCTCGAATTCCCGCAAGGAAGGAATTTTACGCGCGCGATGAGGGACTTCTCCTAGCTCTGGCGGGCATTTAGTCCATTTCCTCTGTTACTGCGACAGCTTCATCCTTATTTCCTTGCATGCTTGAACTCCCCTCGTCCGCCTCTATTCTCTCCATTCTGTCTGGCTCGTACCCATCCGAATGCGACTCGCGTTGTAAACTAAGAGGAACAGCGGGTCGTTTTCGTGGCTTAAACCTCAGAAATCTACCACTGCAATCCCTGCCCTCGTGGCGTTTAGCACTCTCCTTGGTCCGCATTTGCTCTCGTTTCAGGCGCTTCAATTTTACCCAAAGCTGAAAAAGAAAACGGAATTTACCTTGGTTTCATTAGGAATAGGCCATGAACTTCTTTTTCTCACCTTCAGGTCGTGCATGATTTTTTTCTTTTGGTGGGCAATAGCTTGTGCAAGAATTGTTTTTTGATATCAAAAAACAGGACGTAGATAGTACAAAGCACTTGCTCGATTTTTTTTCCCATGGCTCCCCTTACACAATTTTTTTTTCCAGCAGTTTTTGTTGTGCAGGACTTTTTCAATAATTGCGGACCCCCCTAACTCTCCCCCCCGTCCGTACTTCAACGTGCTCACTCGTTTTAAGATTGATTGGTTAAGTTAAGTTTTGTAAGTAGAGTACTGTAATGACGTATGTGATTAGATGAATGTTTATAATAAAAAAAGCCACGTTTTAGTTTAAGTTATAAATGACTATAAGACCTCTGCTTTTCAACATTTTTAAATTTCTAAATTTGTAGTGATTAGTAATGTAAAAAGAGTAGAATTTGTATCTTTAATCGATATCATTATGTTTAGGGAGTTTGAACACGTGATATTAAATACCCTGAGAATTAACAAGCAAAATCTCTTCCAAATAGGGAAATAATTCTCGTACCGTTGGCGCATCCATCTTCGTCAGTTCGCATTGACAACTTGGACTTTGCCTGTCACGAGTTTAGCACAAAATGGTACATTAGAAATTGTTGTCTAAAATGCATTTATAATTCATCAAGTTTAAACAAATTTAAAAGAAATCTTAACCCTGACGATTTCTAGATATTTGATCTTTTAAAGGCATAGATTTTTACGACTTCATTTCTAGTTTTAGTTTCGACTGAGGAGAGATGGTGTTTCCACACATTTCCAAACGCCTCAAAGTTGGTCAAAAATACTCCGCTACCCGTCGTATCAGTTTTAATATCTCCTCTCGGTGTTTGAAAATGTTGTACAAAACAGTCTCTCTTGTTTGATTTATTACTTCCTGGATTAGTTCAACGACAAGACCTAAACTAATTTAAATGAAATTATCGGGAAAACGGAAATATTTTGCTACAAAAAACACACAAAACGAGTACAAATACCTCACGATATTTTTCCCATATTAAAGCGACCGATTTAAACCGCGTAAGAGCGCTAAAAAAGTTCAAAGTTAAGATTTCGAAACTGACAAAATAATCAGATTTAATATTTTTAAATTTACTATCGTTGACCTTATTTTAGTCATTAAGTTAAGTACTAAGAGATTTTAGGTTTTAAGAAATACTCGAGGCTTTTGCTCAAAATTAAAGGAGCTACCTCACGGTTTGCTCATGTTGAAAAGTTTAGCCTAAATTTATCAAGTTCGTCGTTTGTAATCCGTGTTAATCTTCTCCATCCTTAACAATCTTAGTTCCTTTAAGTATTATTATCTCTTTTGTGTTTTTGTATCTTAATAAAATACTATTGTTAGGTTTTCTTTAATTGAAAGGCATTAATTTTGTACGTGGCCAAAATAACTCAAAATAGAGTAACTGAGCTCCTTCAAGGCTTTACCTCTTCGGCTTCCTTCTCCGCCTGATCAATCCTGGCGCGATTTTGCAGAGCATCGATTGATTGGGAATATGGTGTGCCACGTGACAGGCCACTGGCTCTGTTACCACGCTTCAACGGATTACCATCCGGGTCTTTGTATATCTGGATAACCTGAAGAGAGGTCGAATGCGCATTCAGTGGTTTGTAACCAGCGATATCTGATAATTACGAAGTGTTGGAGGAAATTGAATTATAATGGTCTTTTTATTTTTCATTGTTCCAAGACGCAAAGGAAGAATTTAAAAACGTCTGCCCAACTTTTTCAACTTGAGATCAAAATGTTATGCATGATAACATCCCATAATCACCCGAAGGAAAAAAAGATGGCGACTGGTACATTTACCCATAACTATTAGCGCACGAAAACCTTTACAACGCTCATAAAGACGTACAGAAAAGTTCTAAAATCATCAAACCTAGCATACACAATATCGTTAGTACAGTGGAACCCTGTTAATGCGGTCACCAACGGGCAAAAAAATTCTGGTTCTTTAAATAAGAAAACGACGGACTGAGCTTTTGTTCCAGCCAGAATGAAGTGGCCGTAATAACGAGGTGCCAGCCGTAAGGCGACGTTCCACTGCACAGGGACAAATTTTACAAAAAATATGGCTTTCCTAGCGCCTCATGGGCTTTTTTTCGGTTTCAGCAGTTGAAATGAATATGTGTTTCGACTTTGAGTTTTGGAAGCACCCCCTCAGGTGTCCTTACCTTAGGCACGAACAGAATCCCGAGCGTCAACGTGGTACAAAACAAAATGACTGCACAGATTAGGGAAAAGCTGACTGTGGGATGGCTGTTGGTGAAAAATGACACAGGGACACCCACTGCGCACAACAGAACCACATTGTACACGCTGATGCCGATCAGACGAGAATCATTTAGAGCTGGAATGGAGATTTTGCGGGTTTCAAATGCAAGGAACAATCCAAAGATGAGTAACAGGCTGTGGAAAGTGTAAAACACGATGATCCACACGGTGAAATGAGGCCCTACGCACTCCTCCCGGTAAAGAACTGTCTTGTGATCACGATCGTCAGAAATCTGTGAAAAAAAGAGTCGAACATGATTTACAAGGAGCCCTGGAATATTTTAATCTTTTAAATTTAAAAATTTTCAGTCTGTGTTTTATTTTGCTTATAACTTTTGTCTGCGAATACGTAAAGTTATTTCACCACTAAGTGAACATTTAGGTAGATCGTTGAGTATTCCTGTGTGAAAAAATGAATGAACTGGAGGGGAGGAAGAACGAACGAACGAGGAGCGTGCGAGCGAGCAAGCGAGCGAGCGGGAGGGAACGAGAAAAAAGCGAACGAGGAAGGAAGAGAATGCAGCGTGGCCGAGTAGTTAGGGAACTGGACCTCAAATCTGGAGACGACAGATTCAAGTTTCACGGTAGTCCTGAGATAAAATCTTCGGTCAAGCTCGTAAATAGCCAACTGGTTTGCCTCTTGTCAGTTAGGTTTTGTAACCTTGTTACGTTTAATTTGAGTTAATTGTTTTTGACCTAAAATTGCTCGGTCCCATCAGCCTTTAAACACTAACCGAAATTAAAGCTCAACATTTATTTATTTTTTCGAACAAGTGAGTAAGTTTCTGCTGGGTTTTTACTTTTTTCTATATTTTCCTTTAACTAGGCCACATCACGTTAGCTTCAGTTCTTTTAGAAGACTATTTCTTCTAGCTGACCATTGACAACTAGATCTGCTGTCTCTCTATTTCCGAAGTACTACAATCACTATTTTTCAAATTCTCTGTCTGACTCCATACCCCCTGAACTCCATCGGTGTGACTGATAACCTGTCTGCTGGGTGGGTGCAGAATCATCCAGATCACCAACAACAGCACATCAACAAACACTAGCGCTCCTAACAAGCGGAACAAGTCAGAGTCACGTACCACCTGTCAGAATGAAGTGAGATGATATCAATTCAGACACTGATAAAGTGCTTTAAGGTAAAGAGCTGAATAAAAGTACTTAGTTCTAGTCGCACTGACGACTGTTATTTATCCTTCCCTAGTCCTCAGAAACTTTCGCTAGTCAACCCGCGATCACGCAGAAGGGTTGGGGGCACTGATGATGATAGTAAGTTATAGCAGTATAAGGCCCTATCCACACTGCGCCGGAGAAATTTGAAAACGGAGGTTTCACTCTGAAAACGCATCACACGTTTTCCGTCCACACTACGCTGGAGGAATTTGAAAACGGAACAATCACCGATTATTTTAGATTTGTGTTTGAGGAAAACTCGGTCAGGGAAATCACATGGTTTCCGTGACGCCATCATTTTCGAAGAACTCTGTTGTCAAAATGTTTTCCGTCCACACGAAAACGAAAAAGCCAGCGTTTTCAAATTCCTCCGGATTGAAGAGCGTTTTCGAAAAGCTTCGTTTTCGTGACAGATTAGTGTGAACGATAGGCTTAGCCATAGAAATAAAGCTGCATTTTCAGTTTTCTCCGGCGTAGTGTGGACGAGGCCTAAGAAGAGTAACAAAAAAAATAATTATCTGCGCTTAGGCTCTTTAAGCTAAAATCTGCCGGCGCAAACAGATCACAAATTCGTTCAATCATCTGGGTAACTGAAACTCGTTTAGGGCGGTTTTCTCTTAATTAAATGTCGAAAATCATTTCCATTTGCTTTGGTTTTGCGTTACTACGAAAAACGATTGGATTAAAAATCTCGCGCCACTTTTTCATCCGATCAGAAGTAAGACCAAAACCAATAATGACTCGCTCGCACGCGTTTTCGCGCGCTTTTCTGTCGGCTAGAAGTACTTTCTTCGAATTTTGATTGGTTCACTAGATCATCCACGTTCTTTATGCCTAGCCAGAGTGATTATTTCGGTTTTCGTTCTCTGACACTCAATTGAAAACCACTCTGTGGTAGATAGGAGTAGAGGCAATTGACTTGCAGGTCAGAAGTTTCTAACTCTACTTTGATAATACAAGTTTCTTCCTTCAGGGCCAACATCCTCAGTGTGTGCTACATAGGTCACAGAAAACTTAACTTGAGAAGCTAAAGGTCACGCATGCGCACTATTTGCGTTTGTTGCAAAACTGTGGCCAGCTTTGATCAGAGAGCCTTGTGTGAAACATAGTCGAGCAAAGAGAAAATTATTGCTTTTGTACCTTTTTAATTTTCTTGATATTCGTGAAAATTTGATGAACTCGCCAAGTCTTGGAGAACATGGCTCCAAATCCTACCGTGAATCCCAGCGACAGCAAGCAAAATCGTGCCTGTGAGGAGAATAAAACAACATGGTGGAGATTGGTTGAGGAAGAAAAGCGCGCAACCGGGTGGCAGTCATGGGCGACTGTCAGAGCTATAGCAGCAAATCCAAGTGGACAGGAGAAGAATGTCAAAGCCTTATGTAACTTATGGCATGGAGAGATACAGGTATCGGTAGGTAGGCAGGCATGAGGAGAATAAAACCTGCTTTGTGCGTGAAAACCGAGACTAAAATAGGTACTCGATGGGTATCTCTGATTTGCAGACACTAACGCTATAAAGGCGAGGGTATGTAGGAGGAAGGGAGGGGGGTACGGTTCAATGGTAAATTTTTCATACGTTTGGTCGCTGATATTTCATCATGTTTTTGGGAATTCACACAATCTCAAAGCCTCAAAGAGCGTCATGGAACGAAATTTCAAACAATTTTGGATGATTCTTTAAAATTGTATAGAGAATTATAAAATAACGTTTTAATGTAGATTTGAAATTAGATTTCCAATAGTATTTTTTTATATATAATACTCACTCTGCAAACGTAATTGTAGCCGAGTGGCGAGAGCCGGCCATCCAAGCCGTACATGAACACAGTGCAGTACATCGTGATCCCGCCGAGAAGAATGACATTATTGAGGTTTGGACTTGACAGTTTTATATATCTGCATGTGATTAAAAGTCATTAGTAAAGTCAAGCGAGTCTTGAGTAAAAAACTGTATAGGTATTACTCCCACACGGCGATGTAAAAATGAAAACTTGAAATCACCATGAAAGATATCAACATTGTACAAGAGAGCATGAGGAGTGAGAAGTTAAATCCTCCATAACTGAAAAATTGATTGAGCTCTCGAGGGGGATTTCCTTATAGATTAAGGCCTTTATTTAGTAATTAAATTATGTACTCGAGATTCCTATCACGCATACAAATCGCGAGTTAATAATCTAATTGTTTGAGTATAAATCTACTAGTCGTTCAAAACTTTATCTAAATCCTCTTGCCAGACACTTCGAAACGCAATGAAGGGGCCACCGTTTTGTTAACAACCGCACACTGCTAGGCTACTCACTATCTACGACAAAATGGAGAGCAAGGTCATTTAACTGAGTTCATATATGATAGGTGTCCTGCATACTGCTAGGATCAACGCTATCGAATTCATCGTGAGTAGTGATAAGTTANAGACATGGGGTTATAAGGCAATCATTTCAACAACAGATTGAAATAATTTCTAAATTAGAGAACACTATTTGTACAATATGGAACAAATTAACCTTATTGGACATTCCGAATGGCAAGGCTGTCTGTAGAATGTCAAAAATTTTTCAACCCTTTCTTTCTACAAAAATGCTAATCCTGCAACTTTGCTTAAGACCCAGTTCTCCATTTCCTGTTGGCAAAATACCCGGGGGGGGGGGAGACTCCTATATGGAGTGGATGGGGATGCTCGCTGGAAATTTTGAATTTAACCCCTAAAAGAGACCAATCTGGGCATGACCGAAGCTTATGCAGACCCCTGTTTATAAAACAGACAAATAAAAAGTACCGTGACTTTAAATGATGGCGAATTTGTTTATATGAATTGAGTAAATATAAAGAATCAAAATTCTTTCTGTTTTGTTATTTCTTCACGTACAACCCTCAACGAGACCTTGACGGCTAAAATAATGACATTTTGCCCAGAACACCCTAAGCAAGACCAAAATCCGAAATTTACACCCCTAAGCCAGACGACGAGCATCCCCGCGTCCATTCCATTCAATACATAAAATGTTATGCCTTTGGCACTCACCAAATACCTTTGCATGATGTACAATGTACACCATACATTTGTATCAACATTCACAATTCTTTTTACTTTCATTGTAACTCTTTTGTGTCATTTTCCCTCACTTGAAGACAGGACTTCCACATTAGGTGATAATTTGCCTCTGGAATCTCTATGAATTCACAGGGAGTGATAACAATTAAATCGTGACTAATTTTAGCAAAGGAGGCGTTCAAATCTCAAATTTTAATGCTAAGTTTATACAGTAACTTTACATTACTCTTCTTAAGAGAATATAGATAAAGCTCGCTGGCATACAAAGCTCTGCTTTCATGTCCAGTTTGAGCACTCTGGGATGAGTCGTTACTGTTGCAATTGCGCATGCTCACTAGCTCGCTAATTTGAGCACTCTGGTAATGGCTTAGATACTACCACGTGTGTAGGATTTGGGGTGGCTGTTTAAGCTTAGCCTCCATCCTAGTCTTTAGCACTGCACTGATGAGGCCCAGAAGGCCAAAACAGTACTGTCTGCAGTTAGTTACATATTTATATATAAGGCGTCTTATTGGGGCAAGTTAGTGTTACAACCTTGCGACTGCCATGTTAGACCGCCATGTTAGACAGTGGGGGATGGGGGAGGGGAAAAATGAGATTTTTTTCGCTCCACCCCCTCCCCTATCCTTCCTCTTGCCTATCATTCACCCCCTTGGTAAAACTTTCTTTCTCTCACCAGTCTTCCACTGCATGAAAAATTCAAGATGGCGGCTAAACTTTTTACGATGTGAGCGCTTGCTCGAAAAATCTTGCCTGCTCTGCAGGCTATCAACCTATTAGCTGGAGTATGGCCGCCATGTTGGCTCTGTCCTCGTGTACCGGTTCACAAGAACTGTTACAAAAGGCCCAACAATGTTCAACGGCTAAACAAAGGTTCATAAAGAAAAGAGTAATATGGTTATTCCCTCTGTGTACCGGTACACCAGGACACAACCGCCATGTTGCGCGACTCCATTGTCGTCGCCGTCGCCGTCATGCGTACGCGCCCACGAGCAATACCGCTAGCCATGACAACCATGAGCAAAATCCTTCATGGGTTTCTTTTTCGTCCCTATATGGGTATGGGGCTCCGCTTGGCGGCCTTTGGGCCGCTGGAGCTCCGCTAAAATATTACAAAGAAAATTTTTTTGTTTCTCAAAATTTCAACATGTCTGCTACTATCCAAACCTTTTGGTAATGATAATAATAATGATAATGATAATGATAATAATTGACTTTATTTATTGAGGGTAGCAAACAATAGTAATCACTGAAAACCACTGGCCCTTATATAGATATTTACAGAATAAAAAGATGACGTGTTAAAAATTAAAAATATAAAAAGATTCTCAAATATGCATCAGTTTAATCACGTGACTGTCTCTTATTCCCAGATTTCGTTCTTCATAAAAAACCAAGATGGTGGCATTCAAACTCTTTAACCAGACCAAAAAATATGGGTACACGAATGTGATTTCTTTATTTAATTCATTACGTCAATTCATTGATATGCGTTTACACGATTTTTCAAGAAGAAATAGTATCTCCACGAGATAGAAATAGAAACTCTTCGGCATTGAATTTCTTGTCTAATGCTCGCACTCTGATGATTTACTAACAATAACTTGCTTGTTACTCGGGCTTCTGTTAATCGTCCATGTTGAAGATAGATAAATCTTATGTTTCTATTTGTTTACATCACTCAAATTTACATCTTGCTCAGTTTCACAAATGAAAAGGTGAATTAACCATTCTGACGACAAAACACGGCCTTTTGGCGAGTTACACAAATACGGAAAGTTTGTTTTCTGGTGGCCGTCGTTAACACCAAGAACATGGAACATCCCAGAACATCCAGAACATTCCAGAACATCGAATAATTACAACAATTATAAGAAAAATATGCAAAATTAAATTTTCAAAAATAAAATATAAAAAATAAACTGTTATCAGCTCGAAATATGAAAAGATATTTTTGGGGATACAGGAGTCATTAAGGGAAGGGATAGGGAGTATTGGGTATTCATTCAATTGACCACACTGACATGCCACTAATCTCTCATGAACTTATCCACTCCTCACGTGATTCAATCAGAAAAGCCATACAGTCCGTTTTAATAGATTTAGCAGGAACACTGGAACCCCACGGTATGGATAAGCACGATGAATCGTAAAACTTGTAACCTACGTAGACCCGTTTTATTCTTCCTTTATTTAGTTTGTTCTGTTCATCATTTCTGCCACTCTTTTTAGTTTCGAAATATGTGTTACGAAATCCACCACTATATAATATTGTGATTTCATTTTTACAATTTAGTAACATCTAAACCTGAAGAAGGCTGGTCTGGCCAGCCGAAATATTGTTGTGTGGCTTACACGAAGTGTATAGCCACATTATGCCATGATCTGATTGATTGATTTATTTACCTATTTATTTATTTATTTATTTATCGATTGATTGATTGATTGATTGATTTGTCTACGAGAGTCAGCGCCTGTCACGTGGTCTTGTCTTGTAAGGCGCACTAGTCTGAGTCAGCCATTTCGGTTGTAAGCGTGGTCTCTAGTTTCCTCTGCTTTAATTTAGGTAAGTCGTTTTTCATTGTCAGCTTGGTCCTGAGTTCTGCATCTTATCATTTCTTTTACGTGTCGAAAATCTAGCGTCGTAGTTAAGTACAAATAACGAAACCCGTTTGCAATTGTTGTTTCACTTTCAGGTGTTCATGCAAGTCGACAAATAGATAGGTGTCCTGCATACTGCTAGGATCAACGCTATCGAATTCATCGTGAGTAGTGATAAGTTAATAATTAAATAATAATTACCGAGCTTAAAATTCACCATCTTTATTAACTTATCAAAGTAGATTTTGTTCTAAGGGTGATCACATGTCTTACCCATCATGCTCTCCTGTATTGTATCTTCCCAGCATGCTTTTTTCACTCTCCTTGTGTTTCGTTCTCTTTTTTATATGTAACCTTATGTCCATTACCGTAAATTCTTTCAGTCCTGAAACTGCTTATTATACATTAGAGTTCACCGTCATAATAACTGAAAACATCAAGAGATTTTCACGTAATATATCAAACACGAGAAGCCGCTTTTTTACCACATTACCAAAAACTGAGAAAAGAGTTGAAAAATACGACGCGTAGCGAAGTATTTTGACAAACAATGAGGCGTTTGAAACTGTAGTCAAACTCTGTTTTGAGTGTTTGATATATCTTCTCAATCGAAACTAAAAGAGATTTCAAACCGTTAAAATCTATGCTAGTGAAGACGATCACCAGTGTTTGATAGATCTTCTTTGTTTTCACTTGAGGAATAATAAATAAGTTTGAGAACTACTGCATAAACACCATGGTATCAAAGCATGAAAGTTAATTTAATGGCATTAAGAACTAACCTTTTCTTCCTATAACGCAAATTAAATCCCAGAAAAAACAGTGCTAGAGCAATCCCCAGAAAGCTGAGTACACTTGTTAATTTGATCAGCCACACGGGCATCTGGACAAACTTTGTTACTGTGATGGTTTTGTCGAGAGGAATCTTACCGTCTGCGAAAAAAAAAAGCAAGAAGTGCATGAATTAAATAACTGATACTGCCCAAGGCGACAAAAAGAAATCCGTGTGCTCTAGGGCCCCGCCTACACTATGCCGGAGAAATTTGAAAATGTAGCCGAAGGGGAAAGAAAATGTAATAATGTTTCGGTGTTACCTGGCCATAAGTTTCCCTCTCCAACAAGCCGCAGTTCTCTTACGCGTGCGTCGTAGTAACCAACAGGTACTGCATGTCCATCTGTGGACAGAAAAATTTATTGACAGTGATTTTCAAGACTTCAGTTTATTCTAAATGACATACTACCTAGTGAAATCCCTTTTAAGCCTTTTGATGGAGGGGGCTTGATAGAGAGCTGGAATGTGAAATTCAACTTTTGCCAGTAACAATTTACTGGAAAAAAAAAAGATGAAGGCGGTGCTTTATCCCGTAAAATACTATTTTCCACCGAAGCGTTCACGAGATTTTAGCAACAAACTATCCGATAAGAAACCACATAGCAAAATAAGGGTCCAGGGCATACAGAAATACTCGAGAGAGTTTCTGATCCCAGCAACCCGTCAGCTACACTCACTAGTACCTCTAAAATTTATGCACATGTCCACCATGACGGAATAACCATACTTTATGTGTCACTTAGCAACGCCTCTGCTGAAAAACGCGGGTTCACTGACAGTTAAAGGAGCTACGTCATGATTTGCGCATCTTAAAAAGTTTAGCCTAAATTTTTCAAGTTCGTTGTTTGTAATCGGTGTTAATCTTTTCCACCCTTAATCATCCTTGTTCCTTTATGGTTTATTGTTATCGTTTTGGTGTTTTTCTATCTTAGTAAACCACTAAAGGTAATTTTGCACGTGGCCAAAACATCATGACTGAAACCCTTAAATTCTTAGATATTACGAGATTCCCACCATTGAAGTTACTTGTCTCTCTTATGTCTAGAAATGGAATAAGTACCTGGATGTTGTTGAAGGATTTCCACCATTCCATCATATCGATCACCATCAGAAAAGAACGCCACTTCTCCCTAGGGAGGAGGAAGTATCCATTTAACTGAAAACTTGGGGGAAGTTTGAAAACTTTTCAAAACCGAAAGGATTCACTTAGAGAATTTCTTCAGCTCCTATTGCCTGACACCAGGGTGTCACAAAAAGAGTTAAGAGCATCCGAGATTTGCTTGTGAAACAAGCAGAATCTTTTTTCCAATCTCGGGAAATTTTCAAGAGATTCAAATTCAATGGGAAAGCATAGCAGTTAGCGCCAGACAAGAGCAAGAGATAAATTTTTCTTAACTTTCGTTCTTGTTTCTACTCCGGCTCATGACACATAATGATAAAACTTGGCAAATGATCGAACATCCATGAATTACTCTCCTCGCGTTTCATTGTAACAGCAACTTAACGTCTTGCACAACTGATCAACAACAACAACCGTGACAACACAACAAATTTAACAAAAATCAACTCGTTACTTACCGTTACCCCAAGGAAATGGATATCTTGAATTGTCTGCACAAATAATCTTGTCATTGCTGTTTTATTCTGATAAAAGTCTTGTAATTTAAGTCCCATAGCTTCCAGTGTAGGGATGGACTTGTTCAGGGAGGCAGCTACTGTCCACAGGGCATCATATGTGTACGCCGTGATGTTGGGCGCAGATGATAAGTTTCGCCTCTGTAACGCTTCTTTGTATTGCTTGTAAAATTGCCTTGTTGTCTGTAGAGAGACACAAAATAAGGGAATGAACCTTTTTACCGATGTCGCGCAATATCAACAATTTTTCACACTGGAAAAGTTGAAAATTTACATGGACATGTCAATTTTAATTTACAGTNTCATGTTTTTCAAATGAACAACAAATCACCTCCATAGTTCAATTTATCGTGCCAAATTTAGTGAATCTTAGAAGGTTCATAAAAATACGTTGCAAACTCATATAAAGTTGGAAACCCAAACCTATAAAGAAATGTACGCCAGGGGCAAACGTTACCGCCTGGCATACATTTTTTGCAAAAATTGGCAAGGTTTGGGTCCCATGTTTTTATGAGTTTGCCACGGATTCTAAAGAAACTTCAATTCAGTACTTACTAAATTCGGCAAAAAAAAAAACAAAAAAAACAGCGGTGTTGTTTAACTTTTGTTTGAAGGAAAAAATCGGAAGAGCATGACATCGGTAACTGGGGTCTATTTCGGCCAACATTTGCGATGAGCATTTCGGTTTTTTTAATCAATACACAGATACTCACCAGTCCTGAAAGGGTTTTGTTTTGCGTCCCTTTCTTGTCCTCACTCACGAAGATTTGATTGTTAAATATGAAAGTGTACGCAACAGCCTTCCTCATTTCTTCTTTGGTGCATCGTAGAGAGGGATCTGGGACCGACCACCACTCGTGAGTGTATGTACCAATCAAAATCCAAACGTGACGAGCTCCAAACAGGTCTGACTTGTAAGCCTAAGAATGGAATTGGAATTGTAAGTATTCTTACCGATCGTCGGCTTCTTAAAATCTAAATTTAAAAAAGAAAACCGGCACCTAGTTTTTTAGCATGATATTAATTGCCCACATGTATTGACCAACATTGATTTTCAGCGAAAAAATCATTACAGGTACAAATTTCGAATGGAATTTGGAATAGGTTTGCCATAATTATCCATTGTAAAATTCTTTCACTCTTTTCAGTTTGGAATATGACGAAGTATTAAGAATTTTATAAACGGTGGAAGGAATGAAAAATGAAGAAATAACCTTCGCAGTTGTTTTTCACTTTCAACAATTTCTAGGAAACCTGAAAACATTTCTTGGCTTCAACGGGATTTGAATTCAAGACCTCTACCTTACCGACGCAATGCTTTACCAACTGAACCACAAAACCACAGCGTCACTGGAAGAAGGTCAAATGACGAGACTATAGAATAGTACATGATGGGTGTAAATGGAATCATGAACTAAACTGGAAATAGATTGTTACGTAAAGCGTTGGTGTTCCCGAAAATAAACTTCTGTCGCAATGGAAATACACCAAAAACTATTCAGCAGTCCCTCGTTTTAAAGTTATCATGCTTTGGTTAAGTTTACTTGACATAAAGTACCTGACAGAAGACATGTCTAGCCTTGGCTTCATAAAAGGTTCCAACAATGATTCTTGCGTCATTCCGCTGAGAGAAAGATTAAAAATGAAACCTTTAATTGATCTAATGTAAGGGAAAACATCTGTCAAGGGACTCTTCATAAATGTGTAAGGTAAAGTGATCAGCGGAAAATGCATTGGACTTTTCAGGGCTTTTCAGGGAGAGGTGTGGGCTCCAGTCAGTTTACTTGCGTCATTGTTTTGGTATTGCGCAAGACAATCTACTCTCACCGGTGTCTCCCCTACCAGGTGGATAAAGGAGGGCAGGTGAATTAAGATCTCATGACAAGCAAGTATATCAAGCAATACCGAGATAGGTTGAACGGTAGAAAGTTGATCCCCCATATAGGCCTTATTTCTAAAGTGATACAAGTTATTTTTAGCCATGGTACCCAGCCCTATCACGGGTAATGTTATAACGCGCGCGCGTTGCGTAGATGTTTTCGTGCGTGGACGATGGAAATGCGTGTAAAACGCTTGGGCTGGCTACGTGAATTAAATCCGCGTCACAGGGGTGGCCATTTCTAGGCTCTCCTGTGATTTCTGCAGCCTGGAAAGATCTAAAAATAACTTGAGAGGGTTCACCTTGAGAATAAGGCCTGTATGGAGATCTGTTACCTTCGTCCTCTCCTGGCAATAGTCATGATAGTGTCTTAATGGTTGAGTCAATGTTGTGTTGTTTTTTTCTGAGGGATAAAAGATGCAGTTTTCCTAACTCACCACAAGTGTTTTCATGTCCAGATCAATGTGTTGCCCGGTGATTTCTTCTGATTGAAGAACTGTTCGGTTTATTTCCTTTAGTTCTCTTATGACTTGACTATTGGACTGAGAAGCCTTTCAAAAAAGAACAGTGACTTCGCTAAGTGTGTGTCAAAAACTGCGTCTTACCACATGCAAGGTAAAGGTAATTACTTCACGTGATACAGCAAAGACCGCTTGAGTGGTCTGCTCAAATCATTATCTCATTAAGACAAGACATCCTTTCTCCAACCTCAATTTGTTTTATAGTTATATGAAACATTTTTTGTGTTGGCGTGACAAACAACACTGCTAAATCTACGCTGAGCTCAAGAGAAATCTACTCTGTTTAAGAACTAAAGAGGTAAAATGATAAGATCTACTCGAGATGACATGAGCATTGAGGCAACTTATGACACGTAAGCGAGACCACCAGAATTAGAGATTTGGATTTACACCAAGAAGAGAAACAAACAAGAAGAGAAAATAACGAATTTCCTTTGTAACTAACCAGATCGCTGCTTGTCTTTTCAAACATGGTGGCAATCCGTTCCCAGCCAAAATGTTTTATCCACGCGACTCTAGCCAGGTTTCGCGCAGACTCGGAGGGCAAGGCGCGGAACAGCGTTGGAAACTTTTCGCGGTTTGATAGCGCCAGCGATCTTGAAGCGTAGGATATCTACAATGACAGTTCGGTGAAAGTTTAGATTTCATAAGGCATACTACACCACTAACCAACTGGCTGACTGACTGACTAATTGACTGAATGACGGACGGACGGACGGACCGACGGACGGACGCACTCACGTACGAACAGACAAACGGATTGACTAATTGACTTACTGATTGACGGTCGAAATGACTAGACAGACAGACGGACGGGCGAATAAACATACCTTCCCTCCTTTCCGTCATTCTCCATTCATTCATTCATTCATTCATTCATTTAATCATTCATTTAGCCATTCGTTCATAAATAACAGACCTGTGCTAAATTCCGGTATGCTGACATCTCGGCTAAAATTTCCGTGACATCGGAACATGCGGCTCCAAACACCAAAAAAAAAACAAAAAAAACAGCGGTGTTGTTTAACTTTTGTTTGAAGGAAAAAATCGGAAGAGCATGACATCGGTAACTGGGGTCTATTTCGGCCAACATTTGCGATGAGCATTTCGGTTTTTTTAATCAATACACAGATACTCACCAGTCCTGAAAGGGTTTTGTTTTGCGTCCCTTTCTTGTCCTCACTCACGAAGATTTGATTGTTAAATATGAAAGTGTACGCAACAGCCTTCCTCATTTCTTCTTTGGTGCATCGTAGAGAGGGATCTGGGACCGACCACCACTCGTGAGTGTATGTACCAATCAAAATCCAAACGTGACGAGCTCCAAACAGGTCTGACTTGTAAGCCTAAGAATGGAATTGGAATTGTAAGTATTCTTACCGATCGTCGGCTTCTTAAAATCTAAATTTAAAAAAGAAAACCGGCACCTAGTTTTTTAGCATGATATTAATTGCCCACATGTATTGACCAACATTGATTTTCAGCGAAAAAATCATTACAGGTACAAATTTCGAATGGAATTTGGAATAGGTTTGCCATAATTATCCATTGTAAAATTCTTTCACTCTTTTCAGTTTGGAATATGACGAAGTATTAAGAATTTTATAAACGGTGGAAGGAATGAAAAATGAAGAAATAACCTTCGCAGTTGTTTTTCACTTTCAACAATTTCTAGGAAACCTGAAAACATTTCTTGGCTTCAACGGGATTTGAATTCAAGACCTCTACCTTACCGACGCAATGCTTTACCAACTGAACCACAAAACCACAGCGTCACTGGAAGAAGGTCAAATGACGAGACTATAGAATAGTACATGATGGGTGTAAATGGAATCATGAACTAAACTGGAAATAGATTGTTACGTAAAGCGTTGGTGTTCCCGAAAATAAACTTCTGTCGCAATGGAAATACACCAAAAACTATTCAGCAGTCCCTCGTTTTAAAGTTATCATGCTTTGGTTAAGTTTACTTGACATAAAGTACCTGACAGAAGACATGTCTAGCCTTGGCTTCATAAAAGGTTCCAACAATGATTCTTGCGTCATTCCGCTGAGAGAAAGATTAAAAATGAAACCTTTAATTGATCTAATGTAAGGGAAAACATCTGTCAAGGGACTCTTCATAAATGTGTAAGGTAAAGTGATCAGCGGAAAATGCATTGGACTTTTCAGGGCTTTTCAGGGAGAGGTGTGGGCTCCAGTCAGTTTACTTGCGTCATTGTTTTGGTATTGCGCAAGACAATCTACTCTCACCGGTGTCTCCCCTACCAGGTGGATAAAGGAGGGCAGGTGAATTAAGATCTCATGACAAGCAAGTATATCAAGCAATACCGAGATAGGTTGAACGGTAGAAAGTTGATCCCCCATATAGGCCTTATTTCTAAAGTGATACAAGTTATTTTTAGCCATGGTACCCAGCCCTATCACGGGTAATGTTATAACGCGCGCGCGTTGCGTAGATGTTTTCGTGCGTGGACGATGGAAATGCGTGTAAAACGCTTGGGCTGGCTACGTGAATTAAATCCGCGTCACAGGGGTGGCCATTTCTAGGCTCTCCTGTGATTTCTGCAGCCTGGAAAGATCTAAAAATAACTTGAGAGGGTTCACCTTGAGAATAAGGCCTGTATGGAGATCTGTTACCTTCGTCCTCTCCTGGCAATAGTCATGATAGTGTCTTAATGGTTGAGTCAATGTTGTGTTGTTTTTTTCTGAGGGATAAAAGATGCAGTTTTCCTAACTCACCACAAGTGTTTTCATGTCCAGATCAATGTGTTGCCCGGTGATTTCTTCTGATTGAAGAACTGTTCGGTTTATTTCCTTTAGTTCTCTTATGACTTGACTATTGGACTGAGAAGCCTTTCAAAAAAGAACAGTGACTTCGCTAAGTGTGTGTCAAAAACTGCGTCTTACCACATGCAAGGTAAAGGTAATTACTTCACGTGATACAGCAAAGACCGCTTGAGTGGTCTGCTCAAATCATTATCTCATTAAGACAAGACATCCTTTCTCCAACCTCAATTTGTTTTATAGTTATATGAAACATTTTTTGTGTTGGCGTGACAAACAACACTGCTAAATCTACGCTGAGCTCAAGAGAAATCTACTCTGTTTAAGAACTAAAGAGGTAAAATGATAAGATCTACTCGAGATGACATGAGCATTGAGGCAACTTATGACACGTAAGCGAGACCACCAGAATTAGAGATTTGGATTTACACCAAGAAGAGAAACAAACAAGAAGAGAAAATAACGAATTTCCTTTGTAACTAACCAGATCGCTGCTTGTCTTTTCAAACATGGTGGCAATCCGTTCCCAGCCAAAATGTTTTATCCACGCGACTCTAGCCAGGTTTCGCGCAGACTCGGAGGGCAAGGCGCGGAACAGCGTTGGAAACTTTTCGCGGTTTGATAGCGCCAGCGATCTTGAAGCGTAGGATATCTACAATGACAGTTCGGTGAAAGTTTAGATTTCATAAGGCATACTACACCACTAACCAACTGGCTGACTGACTGACTAATTGACTGAATGACGGACGGACGGACGGACCGACGGACGGACGCACTCACGTACGAACAGACAAACGGATTGACTAATTGACTTACTGATTGACGGTCGAAATGACTAGACAGACAGACGGACGGGCGAATAAACATACCTTCCCTCCTTTCCGTCATTCTCCATTCATTCATTCATTCATTCATTCATTTAATCATTCATTTAGCCATTCGTTCATAAATAACAGACCTGTGCTAAATTCCGGTATGCTGACATCTCGGCTAAAATTTCCGTGACATCGGAACATGCGGCTCCAAACACCATTAAACTGTCTGGTTGCTGTGACAACAAGTCCATGAACATGTTGGCAGTATAAGCTGGATCACACTGTGGAGATATTTAAAGTTAATCATAAGAAATAGCCAATACCGTAATCTGCCACTTATAAGCGCAGGGCTTATACATCTTCGTAAGGGGTTTTGGATGGGCTTAAAAACAGAGCGTCTTACAACTGGGGGTTTAAAAGAGAATTAAAAAAACCTGTTTCCAAATGAGCTACGGCAATGTTGATCGAAATACGTTTTTCGTATACTGGTTTTCAATTAAGCTTGAAAACATCATAATAAATCGAATTCATTTCATTTTAAACTCAAGGGGGGACCTATAACTGGGGGAGGCTTATAAGCGGCAGTTTATAAGCGACAGCTTATTTCATTCTCAGACAACACTGTGTGAATTGAAATAGAGAACTCGACTTCATGTTGACGTTCACCTCTCAAAAACGTTTGTGCTTAAACGAGCTCAGTCACGGTATTTTGAGTTATTTTGGCCACGAAAAAAATTACCTTTATATTAAAGGAAACCCGAAAATAGTAGTTTCCTAAGATAGAAAAACACCAGAGATAATAATAAATCATAAAGGAACAAGGATGGTTGAGGATGGAGAAGATTGACGCGGATTACGAACTTGAAAAATTTAGGCTCAAATTTTCAAGATGCGGGAAGCGTGACGTGGCTCCTTTTAAAAAGCTCCGGCCTAACGTTGCATTAAAAGTTGTGTCATGAATGAAAGATCACCGTTGTTATTAAAATAATCGTCTTACGTAACATTATCTATAGTCAAACAGTAAATTTTCAAGAACTTTAGCTTTCTGTCTGGCTCTTTTTTTTCTTACTCCGGTATTAAAGTTTCTCCAACGCTTACCTTTGAATCCTTGACAATCATCCTTAGCTCGTAATCTCGCAATATATCAGACTTGTTCACGTGATCTAGTGCCAGTTCAGCCGCAGCCAGAAGTGCCTGTCCTGGTACCGAGGCCTTGTTTGGACTCAAAGGAAAGAACCCACCGATGTAAACAGGTGTTCGCTGGGAGGGCGTGGTTAATCCCACTGCCACAAGTAAGATGATAAAGGAAGGCAGTAGATTCATCTGTCCGCTTTCGAAGGAAGAAATCTTCCACGATCCAATTTCTTTCTTATGGAATAATCACAGCTAGAAGATTGTGTTGCCTGTTTGGTCAGAGTAATTATTGCATCGTAAACATAAATTATGTTATCCCGGAAGTAACTGAGGAAAGATCAGGCAAGAGAGCTATATTTTTGACCAAGGTTTAATTTTCTCCCTACAGCAGAAATACAGTGCCAAACAAACAGGCCATGAGAATAAAAAAAATCATCAAGCATGGAATTTGTTCTTGATTTGGCGAGTAGTACGGCCGAGTGGTCGGCGCGTCGGACTTGAAATCCGGAGGTCGCGAGTTCAAGTCCCGCTCTGACCACTAAGTTGGAGTTGTTTCTCGGTAGACCCTAGTTCAACCCCTCGCTCATACTTGTAATAGCCAACTAGTCTGCCTCCGCCAGTTGGGATTTTCTAGCCTGTTGAGTTCATTTGAAATAGTTTCCTGCTCTTTCTATCACTTCTGTTTTGGTGGATCAATACTAACACTATTTGTCATATGATCCTGCAATAATGGTATCACTCAAATGCCCGATCATTGGTAAACAAATTATAGTCGTCCTTTTTCTATATAATAGGTTACCATAGCAACAGTAAAACCTGTTAAAAACGCCTTTAGTTTTAGCTCTGAATGCTTAAAACTCAAAGACGAGCTCTGTGACCCACATTTTCTTTTTCATCAAATCGTCATAAGCATGATCAGATGCAGCTTTATGTAGATTGTACCAAATTTATAAGGAGGTGTGTTCAGAGCCAACTTAAATTTTCGAGCTCGCTGAGATTTGTTTAAAAAGGCTTTAAAACAAGGTATGTGCTTAACCAAAAACAAGTCCATCCTAAGACGAAATCAATTTTATATAGTTGCTCAGTGGCACACCCTAAAGGGCGTTCGCGCTAATTGTTTCTGCGCACGCATCCTTACTGCGCACGCAAATTCACACGTCACGTAATGCATCAGGGTGCGCACTAAGTAATAAAATGAACAATGATAGGGCAGATGGCCATCGCTATAGCTTTGCCTGGATTTAACGATCTTTGGACCTGCTTTTCTTTCCAGAAACTTTGGCAGAGAACATTTCACTTCAAAGATCTAATTGCAATATTTCTGGGCTTACAGACACTGTGGCCTTATTCGCTAACGAAGCCCGATTTTTTCAGATTTAGGGTGTTCTTCCGGGCATGTTCTCTCCAGAACGAAGTAGGTGACCCCCCATTTTTTTCACATTTCTGACATAACTAACTCATCATCTTACAGTGGTAAAAGTCTCAGAAAAAAATCAATGTTGGAAAATTTTCGCGCGAACGTCCTTAACTCAATGGCTGTCTACAGGTACCTGGTAAGACCTTCACCGACGGAAAAACACGTAAGAACGATGCCTTGAGATAAATTACGTTATGTCTGGTCATAAAAATATAGAGCTTACGAAAACCACGACGGCAACGGGCAACGGCAGCAAGGCTAGTTTTTTCGTGTTTTCATTTGGAATTGAACGCTGGCGTTGCATATATTTAGTTTGAGAAAGTTCTGAGACTAATAGGCGCACTGAAGCTCTCTAATGTCTGCGTTTTTCTGACGGCCTTGCTATAGAAGAGGGATGATTATTCGAAGACATTTTGCGGTTCAAAGTTTTTGGTTCACATTTGAAAGGGATGACAAAGGATGCTGAAAACCTTTAGTTCCGCACAAACGCACCACATGGTAGAACTCTCCAAACACTAAGGATACCGGAAAAAAGTTCCATAGCCGTTACATTAACTTGACTAGTCTCTGGACGTGACGCAAGCATGTAAAATGCAACTTATTCATGGGAAAAAACCGGAATGACATTTAGATCTAATAACAATAACCCAAATGAAAAGTTTTTCTTGTCCGGAAATTGGCTAGTGGACTGTAAAGCATTTTAAATTTGTGGCGACTGCAAGTTTCGTGGTAGTCAGTGAAAACGTTGCAACAAAACTGATACCAAAATAAGTATCAATATATGTTTACATTGCAATTGCTGTCAGTCTTAATTTTTTTTTATTTATTTCAGCCCAATTTTATTTCAGTGATTTCTTAATCGCATTTTAACGAACGTCAACCGTCTCATTTCGGTAAATCATTGAAAAGTTGAGAAAATCGACACGTGTTTCATGTTGCAAATTGCTTATCTCTGCCGAACTGAATAGGCCAAAAGAAAGCTTTAATTGCGAGACAAATCGTCCTCACAATAGTTCAAAAAGAAAATGTTTTGTGCAGCTGTAATAACTTCAACGCGGCGATAGATTTTCGTAGTCGACTTTTTACACGTTTTGTTAAGTTTCGTCATCACTTTCGCTTGAAATTATCTTCTCGAAATCGAGAGCGAAAAGGTCCGCTTTCGTTAAAACATCATTAGCTCTCAGTTCTCAGTTTATCAGCTGAGAACTGCTCAAACGTAAACGGCCATTGAAAAAAAGATCGATTTGTAAAAGTCTTCAGCTCTTTCGCAGCCATGCTTCATCGACTGGTTTTTCTTGAAAACGCAGGATAACATCTACCCAACGCCAGCATTTCTAATGCGCGGAATAGCATTCAATATATGGGCTCGATTTTTCAGTTTCCAGGATAGAATGTCCTCTCGATGGCTAGCTATACCATGGAAAACCAACATAAAGAATAAAATTATAAATCTCCAAAACACTTTTTAGTGATTTTAAATATTTTTTCTTGCACAACAGCATCTAATGACGACAAAACATAATCAAACATTGTTTAATTTGGTGAGCAAACATGATGTTGTAGCGAGTGGCCAAACGGTATCAAACATGTTTGATCATCGTCCAAACAAACAAAAGGTGCTACAGCGTTTGAATGTGCCCAAATATGGGAAAATGTACGATAACCAAACGAATTTTTAACCGTGTTTTATTGCCCAACATTTTTCGTTTGGACAGAATGGCTTAAGATGTTTTTTTTCCTTTTTTTTAACGTAGGATTGACTTTCGACTATCATTATTAGTTCGCACAAAAACAATGTCGTTTTTGCTAAACTATCCCAAATGAAAATCATTTTTTCAACTGATTAAGGTGCATTTCTTTCACTCGTGATTTCGTTCATTATTTTAGTTTGTACCAATACAATATAGTTTTACTTTTCTGGCAAATTAACCAAATTAAAAAACACTGCATCTAGCGATTTTCGAACGCTACGCTAACAAAGTAAATTCTTGGTGTTGTTTATCGCCATTAAGCTCGAAACAAAAAATAAGAAAGTCACCCTTCTCTAATTAAAAAAAAAAAAGAGGTAAGAAAATTAAAAGAATGTTGACTTCAACTAACCTGGTTTGAGGCCTCAACGAACTCATTGAGCCACTATGGACAGAAACAAGACTGCATGTGTGGAAACTTCATGCGGACTAAACACAAATGTTGACCAAACAAAATGAGAACTTCGTTCTTATTTGCTTTCCACTTTCTGGACCAATTAACTTCGCTCAGAGACACTACAAGTCCAGAAAAACAACATTGTTTTGATCGTAGTAGTCCACCAATCATAGAAGAATTTGTTGTAATCTTGTTTTCAGTAAATTACACCGTAATTGAACCTAATTAGGGCGTGTGTTAAACGGGAAGACGTTGAAAAACAACATGTATATATTGTCACAAGGAGCATTGTGATGTCAAAAAAAAAAAAACATTAAGAAATTCCCTGATGTTTTTGGTCAGAATGAAAAAAAATTCAAAACTTCGCCACATGGGGAATTTGGATGGAAAAGACGTGTGCTTTTGGATGTTAGCAAAACGCTCACAGCAAAGATGCCGGCGAAGTCGCTTATTGTTGTGTACAAGGGAACCTTATTGGCTGCTGAAACAAAGAGTTATTCCGTTTCATTGCCTGGAAATATGAATAATAAAAACAGCGATTGTAAACTCGTCTCCTCGTTCCCTAAAAATATATATCTCCCGGAGAAAAACGCACTAGGTGTGAATCTTCGCTTTTAATTGAAACTGCGAAAGAAAAATCGCCTAATTACGTGGTACTGTAAAAAGAAAGCTACCTAGCAATTGAACTATTTTAGCTTCAAATCGGATTTCTTCGGTGGTATTTTGAAAGCAAGTTGATGGCGGAGCAAAATTTTTTCCTTTACTCTTTAAAAACATAAACCACAAAACAGTGCGTCTTTAAAAGATCTTCAGCCTTACTTACCTTATTGAGTTTTCTCAAATCTTTAGTAATCAGTAGCACATTCGTCAATTTGAGCTTGCTCGAGCTTAAACCATTTTAACATCTCTATCCGCGAACACAAAATGAACAAGCTGACAGAATTTAAAATATTACAAACCTGGTCACAAACACATGATTTTTAGTGTTTTGTTGCATTTCCTATGCATAATTTACATCATAATGACTATTCAAGCGTCACGACGCGATATCATACATATTCGTGAACCAAAATAATATAATTTCTGTCTTTAGGAAACGATTTTGCTCTCATTGTTTGAAGACATCGATATAAAAGCCTCAAAAACGTCTCTACAGACCACCTGCTGCCAGATAAAATCTTGAATTGAATAGAGGTTTATTCGAGATAGTTGCCAGACTGACTTTTGTTTTACAATGTAAATTAGCCATGTGGTGTGTGCTTAAGAGGCAAAAATTTCTATTTTTCAAAATGGCATTTGAGAGCAACTTTTACTCGGTTACGTCAAGTAATTCTGACATCGCTAGTTGCTCAGGATATTTTGCAAAGCGTTAAAAGAATTCGTTCAAGTTAATTCTTTTATAATGTTATGAATATAAATGATCTTCGCTGTGTTTTTGCAATTTGAGCAATTGCTTTTAGCGTGTAACAAATGCAAAAAATTGTTTAAATTGCTAACACACTGCGAAAATAATTTCATTCATTTCATATTTTAACCTCAGTACATATACATATTCATTTCAGTCGCAATGTTGTAAAGAAAAATATCTGTGAAATTCTGACAGTAAAAATAAATGTTCTAGAACATACTCATTTCTGGGTCGTTTTTAATAGTTCATAATTTAACTAAAGTAGCAGATAAAAAATGAGGAAGAAAGGTTTCTTAAAACCTTTGTTTTAATTTCGCAACGCGTTCCGCACTTCAAGTGACTTCAATTCTGATCGAATTCAAGAACTTGTACGGAAAATTTGAGCCGAAAATAGGTATGTAAATTATTAAAAACTCTGCCTGGTTTTATTTCCCGTCGTTGCACCTTTTCTGTCATCGCGATTCGGTCGCGATTTGAGAAATTGAAGAATATTTGTACTTTAGTGTGTAAAGCAAACGAGAGTGGCAAGTTCAAATTGTAATCTCTCGTTGAAAATACATTGATTTAGTTTCAAAGAGAAAAAAAAAAGCCATTAATATTTTGACTCACCAACTTGAAGAGGTGTGTAATCCGTGTTCGCGGAATTAGCCAATACTGAATTGAGATCCCGAATTTTCGCTTTTCAAATTCATATTCCATACGAAAATGAATTTGAAAAGCGATAAGATTAATACCCTGTTGACCTTCTTGCTCTGTAAAGCTGATCAATTTTAGTCCCCTCCGATCTCCAATGATTATACAATAATTCATGATAATTGTTCCACACGTTCGTCTGCACTGATCACGTGGTACAATTCTGCCGGACAACTATCATGTCACGCGACCTCACGAGATTAATATTAGGCCCTGTCCA